TATATATTTTTTTCTACAATATTTAAATTCGATTGGACTAAATCCAAAAGCAAAATAGTAGTGACATTTTAAAAAGGCCGCCAAAACTATTAGTATAATAAAAAATGTTCTTGTTGTTTGTAAACAAAATCATAATAAACCAAAAAAGAAAAGCAAAAGAGGGCAAAATCAAACAATTGATAAGAAATGCATTTAAAGGGTCTATATCATAAAAAAATAATAAAAATTGGAATAAAAATTTAATGTATTATGTAAACATCATTAGAGTTTCAAGGCATACCATTCCCCCCTCAGTCCATATGTTAAAACTAAGCTGCAAAAATGCTTAGTTTTCAATTCATTATGGTTGTGATGTCACAAAACACTAGTGTATTTACATATTACTGCCCATTCAGCCTATTACAGTTTGGCCCTGCCCCTTCACTGTTGAAGTAATGAGGACTGTTTCAGCCTGGAGTAGTTTTTGAAAAAGGCACAGTACAAGGCAACCAGACTTTGTTTACATATAGCAGTCTTAAAGGCACAGGCAAAACCAGCCTATGTAAATGAAAGAGACAAAGAGAGGTTGGATTGTCATGCCAAAATGACCATAAAATCGTATTGTTAATTTTTTATGATACATAAAGTTGTGTTAAATGTGAATAATACACATACACAGAAAAGCACATTGTGACTTTAATTTTTATGATAACATATGGCCCAACACTTAGTGTAGATTACATACTCGCATGTCTATAAAAGCGATCGAAAGCATTTTGCATAACTAAAAACAGTTATAGCATCATCTTGAAGACTAAATGACATGCTTTTTACAGAATGTTATACAGTGTCAGAAACCACATAAGCAAGTCTGTTTGAGAGTACGTAAAGGGCCTATATTGTGTAGAAATGATTTTTCCTTGCTTTTTTAAAATAAGTTTGATGTAGTATGTTAACACGGTTAAAATTTTAAAACATACCGTTCACTCCCCAGTCCGAAAATGGACATTAAGCTGCACAAACAGCCCAGTTTTAAACATTTTTTCTGTGATGTCACAAAAACCAACATATGTACGTGTATCTGCCTATTGCACCCACAGCAGTTCAGCTTCGCCCAGTCACACTGAAGTTGTAAGAAGTGTTTCAGTCCAGACTGATTTTAGAATGAGGCACGATACAGAGCAGCCATTCAGAACTCATTAATGTATATCAGGCTTAAAGGCACAGTAACAAAAACAGCCTGTTTAATTCTAAGAGGTTGAAAAATTGTTATGTAAAAATGAATAATGACTGGTTTTGGTATGTGAACGCACAGAAAGCATATAAGTGGACATCAGGGAGAAAAATAAAATAGAAGAAAAGTTTAGAATATGGGCCCTTTAACAACTCAACTCTGGTTTAAGGCAGTTGTGGGAGGATGGCATGCAATTGCTCAATGCTAATTGGTGGTTATAGGCTTTAATTATTTGTGGCTTAATAGCTTCAGTGCAAATCTAAAAAAAAACAAACTTTATATGCCAAACATGTCTTGGCTGGTCAACTACATTTGGGATAAGGGGAAAGCTCACTTTAGAAGAGATAAAAAGTCAAAAATGACTCAGACCAGACAGTAAACAGAGAGCAGCGCCTTATTAGCATGCTGACATCATAGAACCCATCTGTACTCTTCATGTTCTTGCCGCTGTGTTTTGGGGGTCAGTGCTTTAGCCATGGCGCTATTTACTGTCCGGGCCCCATGGTAACAGCCAGAGGCTGCATGGAGACGCGGGCCAGCAAGTGTGATGGTGAGGTAGATGTGCGGCCGCAAGCTATTTTTGTGCCGCCCCGCCAGGGTTGCTATAGCAACCCAGAGTCATCCCTCAAAACTGATTTGATTTGAGAGCTGTGGAAGTGGCACCCTGTGGCTTATAAGCTCGATCTGCATTTATGTCCACAGGTTTGATTAGTGACCCGTTTATCAGTTTAAGCTTCAGTGTGCTAGTATGCATTGACATGGGATCGTGAAGGTGTACACGTTGTCTTTAGACTGCATTGCAGTATTTTATTTTTTTGCTCTTCATTTCCTGTAGTAACACTCTGAGTTCCCAGGATTCCCTGTTTATTACTGCATTAGAATATCAAAGGCAAATGTTAAAGGCTCTGGTGTCATAAATCTGCCAGTGAGTTTGTATACAGCTCTTTTTGTGAGGTTTTAGTACATGTTTGATTGCACAACTTCTGGGCCACTATGGAAACAGAAGTGTCTACATGTGCAAAACCATGTGCAACAATTAGGCAGGACGACTTTATTAACCCTTAAAAGTGTCATGTAGTGCTGGGCGATGCCTGTATACAGTGATACTGACATATCATGAAACTGCTTTTCAGGTATATTAGCAATATATCTGACAGATCTGACAGATCTGATAGATCATTATATCTGTGACACAATGGCTTTTTCAAAATGTCTACATAATTTAGTTGTTGAGATGTAAACAAAGCCATTCAGAGTGGTTTGATGTGGAATGATTAATTGTAGAGAAAATTACAGACTCAGATTTGTTTGCAGTGGTGATGAAAGGAACCAGGAGTCGCCGTGTATGCATTGAAAATATAGCCGTTTTGTGGCTAAACTGAATCTACACGTCTTCCGAGTTTTTTATATGTAATGTTGATAATTATACAGTTTTGGTAAATCTGAAAAATATGTTTTCTCTGGGTACATTTTTTTCCTATAAATGCCCTGCATGTACATCCCCATCATTAAATATTTTTTTTTAAAATGATTTAGGCCAAAATTTTATCTCAAAACCTTTGTAAAACACATTTTCAGGCATCAGGCATTGCATTCATAGCCATTTCACGCAATAACATTCTGTGAGAAAATCTTTAGAGGCGTTAAACTCCTCAGACATCTGGTTCCTATCACCACCACTGTGAACAATTCTGATTAAGTCAGCTCATCTAAAACAATGCATTTCACATCAAACCACACTGAAATATGCTTTCTGTCTGGCTAACATTAGCTAACATAAGAGGGGATAATATTAAAAAGAGAAAACAGAACAAAATCAGTCAAATTAAAACAAGTTGTCAGCTTTGTAAGACATTATTTTAGAGCATAGATTTGCAGCACTTTAAGAGCAACTAATATCTCACACTAATATTATGCTGTGGTTTAATTTGAAAATACTGTGATACTGAATTTTATCAGTATCTCTGCTCTAGTTGTTATTTTGCTGTACATTCAATTTACATATTGTTTAAATATAATAACATAATTATGTAATAACATGGTTGGTTACACAGTCAAACATACTGGTAGTTGATTTACATTCTGCACCAACAGATTTGAGCCTGCACTTTTGTCTTTTTCTGCTTTTTTGAATGTTAAAAAAATGTAAAAATGTGACAAAAATGTAAAGGATGATCGTGTTTTCACAAAACAACACCGTAGACACAGAAGTAACATTTCATCAAATTTACATCACTCTATTAATGAACACAAATGTGATATCAAAAACTTGCTAATGAATTTCATCACAATTTCTCTGTGTTTCTTTGAGCTGTGACTGAGAATTAATTAACATATTACTGAACCGTGTGTTGTTAGGATTAAAGACTCTGAGATCTTTGTAATAAAATCTAAGACTTAAAACTGCTGCAGTACAGAAGGGGTTTAAGGGGAATCTAGGTCTTTAAACGATGTATTGATTTTTTCAGCATTATGTCATTGTAGCCTGGAAAGAACTAATTAAAAATGCACTGGCCTGGTTTTATATGAGTGGATGAATGCTGAGATTGAATCTTTTATTAAATAACTAAATAACTAAAATGGGCCATCTTGGTTCTGGAGAGAGAATACTTCATTGATCCAGCAGATTCTGAATGGACGGATTCTGTTTCTCTCACCACTGTAACAGCTTTCCATTCATATTGGCGCTGAATCCTCCATGCGGCTCCATGCATGTATAAACCTCCTGACCCGGCACTGCCCTGCTGCGTCTGGATTAGGTTACACTGCTGTCCTGCCCCAGACACCCTGTGGGCTGATGCACAGACTGCAGACGCCTGTGTATCACGGCCAGAGCCATTTATACCTGGAAGATTTGAACTCATTCAGCAGCCATTTCTACATTTCAAAGGGGAATTTTATTATTATTGTCATTTTTTTGTTACCATTATCAACATAAAACACAAACATAAAAACGTAAACACAGAAGACATAGGTGGACTCACTGGTCATTTTGAATAGTAAATAGGTGAAAAGCACCATATATAATGTTATAATTGCGTTGTAGACATCATGACCCTGGGTTCCGATCACTACCATTGTAACAAAATCCAAATTCCCCTTAAATCTACTCTTCTCCTTTGATACCATGATTTCTCAATGCCGTTGTCGTGTGTATTTTGACTTGTAAGGCACAAAATCTAATAAAGCTCAAAATATTCATAGATACTTTGTTTTTGTGACAAACAGCCATTCTGACCAAGAATTTTTGCCTTTTATTGTACCGTTCCTGTCTTTCATTGTTACTCTGATGAAACAGAGATGATGAAAGACAAAGGTTTCCATAACAACGTGATTTGCGTTCTGAATATGTGCACATAAGCCCTGAAACTATTGCAGTGCATCCAAAAATAAAGGCAGCATACAGCTTTTTTTATACAGTGATAGACAGTACAGTAGCACACAGAATCCTGATCCATTTTAATGTGGCCAGCGCGAACATGCATGCACAGTGGCTGCTCTGGGGCAGATTTTAATCAATTAAAAGGAACGAAGATAAAGACTCTGAAGATATTTCATGTTAGATTGTAAAGGCAGGTCAATGTTGGGAATTAAAACCGAGTGGAAAAATCCTCCTGACGGGTGTGTTAATGATGACTGCATTATTAGTAACTCACACATACTTCTCTACTAGATTAAGAACATTTCTGGACTAGTTTTCATGCAAACACAAACACACACACACATGCACACCTGTTCTGTGTAATCTGTGCGCACACTCATCTGAGGTGTGTCCCCTGTGTTGCAGATGGGAAGAGGAGCTGTCCAGACGAGAGCAGATGGAGTCGATGGTGGAGACGCTACAGGAGGTGATCTCACCTTCACACACACAGACACACACACTGAGCTGTCTGGCCCTCCTGCTGTGACATAAATTGAAACCCATTAAATGCAGCACTCTGTCTTAAAGGAGTTCAAGCGGGATAGATTGTGTTGATTATATTCTGCTTCACACTAATGTCATTACAAAGTAAAAGAAAACTTTAAAAAAGCCTTCTCTGTGATATTTCATGATACCTGAATTTGTACTGCTCAACTTTATTACACATATAGTACTATGCAAAATTCAGATATCACTCTTCATTTGTTTAATTTCCAGTCAAAATGACAATTAAGAACGAGTTATTTTTCAGCATCAGTAAAGCAGAGAAACAGTAAATTAAACCAATGCCTCAACAACTAAATATAATATTATATGTTATTACAGCTTTCTTTTATTTTCAGGAGACTTGCTTTTATTATTTCAAAGAAATCTGCAGGGATATATATATTTTTTTTACACCTCCAAAGTTCAGTCTTGGAAGTTGGTTGCATTTTCTGCTTTTTACAAGCCACATAATCCCAATTACACATTTGGACTCGTCAGTCCATAAAACCTTACTCCACATCTCAGATATCCTTCAGTGTTCTAGTGCAAATTTTCTTTCTTGTCCCTGTCCTTTTCTTAGTAAGAGCTTCTTGACAGATACACGTCCTTTCAGACCCATAGTGTTGAGTTGTCTTCTCACAGTGGAAGGATGGACAGAAACACCTGAGGATTGTTTCAGATCTGAAGCAGCTTGATTTTCTCTTCTCTCTCAAAGATGAAAGCTTTAAGTGCTGATAATCTGATGGGGACAGTGTTGGTGTCTACCTGGCCTTGCACAGGTGTTATCTGTCCCATTTCTTCTGTATGTTTCAATAATTCTCCTGTTTTTCTTTGACCTTGTCCTTCCTTGTGCAAGTGAATTATCTTATATCTACTCTCCTCAGAAATCTCTCCTGAAGCTATTTTAGATGCAAATGAGAAAGAAATGTGTGAGGCAGCTAAGATGTATTTGAGTGGTTGTTAGTGTGAATGTTAGTGTCTCTGTGAAGGGGAACATAAAGTCGGTGACTCTTTTGGGAGCAACTTTCGTTGGGAGGGAGCAGCTGTAACAGGTTAGTTTTAGGATGGGCAGGATGGAAATGTTAAAGTGGCAGTAGGTGCACAAAAGTAAAGAGTGGAAAAATTAAAAATGGACAGATTGGATATACTTATTTTTGGAGGCCTTTGTGTAATTTTCTGTTAAATTATGTTTCCTGCTTTTTTCTCTGACACTGAAAACTTGTTTTTAATGGCTGTTTTGATTGGAAATGAAATGCATGCAAAGTTGTTCTGAACAGGACTGTGTGTTGCCTTGATCATAATGGATTGAATTAAACCAGTTATAATCAAAAAAGCAAATATGCATGTGCTTTAACAATAGTCTCCACAGAAATGTCTCATAATTCTACAGTTACAGTATTCAATTTATGCAATTTTCCCTTTATGCTTAAGACATGTTGATGTCTAAAGTTTGCTTTAGGTTTACACTGGAGCTACGAGGCTAATTTAGCCAACAAGTAATAGAAGCTTATAGCTGGTTGTGGTTAATTTCTCCAGTAGACTTGCTTTTAGACAAAGACATACTTTTATTTATAAAAGCAGGAAAAAGTACAGACTTAGATGGCTGCTTGCTAATACTGTTTTTAGCTATGCAACATACCTTTGCTAACTGGTCCTATCAACTTCTATTGCTTCTTAATTACATTAGCCTTGTAGCACCCTTGCAGAGACAAACAAGCAAACAAGCACCAATACATTTTGACTGATTGGCTGCATTTGGGATAGAGCTATTGGATTTTTGGCCAAACTATCACTTTAAGTAGATGAAAAGCACTTTATCCATCACAGGTCACTCTTCTTGCAAGCTATTGCCCAAAAAAGTATCCCAAATATTCTGAAATAGCTTCCTATCCAACTGTGGCCAACATATCGCTGACCTGGATTACTCAAATAGAGTATGAACATCAGTGCCCCAGCTGCAGCATTTGTTCTTTCTATGCTTGACCCATCATATAAACTAACTGGCCATCGCACTAACACCGCCAGAGTTGTTTATTATTGTTGAGGTATAAATAGATATCAGGTCTAAATACACAGCATAACTCATAAATTGAAAATGTTTTCCAAGACAAATTTAAGCGATAAATTTGGTGCGTATGTGTGAATTTATTTTCAAAACAAAGCTTTTATATGGAATTTTTTGTAACGCCCCCAACAAGTAGTTATCAGCAGCCAACAAGTTCTCAGCATATGTTTATCTTCTTCAAGCCTGTAAGAAGAACATCCCTTGTGGCTCCTCATGAAGCTGCTTGAGAGAATGCCAAGAGTGAGCAAAGTCGCATTAAAGCAGACGGGTGCTAGCTTCAAGATCTGAATTTGTTTAACTCTTTTTTTTTTTGGTCACTGCAAAATTCCATATATGTTATTTCACAGTTTTGATGTGTTCACTGTAAAAAATGTTAAAAATGTTGAAAAATGTAAAAAAAAACGTAAAAATAATAGAGATGCACCGATATGGAATTTCTGTGCAGATACCAATAATTAAAACCTTATTGTAGCTGATAACGACATCATAAGCGGATAACTTACATCAATTATGTTAATGTAATTCATTATTTTCATTCTCTGCATTACTTTATTTACATGCAAAGGTTTGGGCACCTCCGGTCAAATGAATTGTTCTGCTGATTTTCTACATGAAAAAACATCCTCTACAGAGAACACACTTCTGAACAATGTAAATTACTGTTTATTTGCTGAATTAAATATATTGGGGAAAAATTAGAACATAAAATGTGGCTTGTGCAAAAGTTATGGCACATTTTGTATTTTATGTTTAATTTTTTTCTAATAGGTTCAACACTGCACAAAAATTTTCAGGAAAATGCCAAATTTCAGGGTGTTTTCTCTGTAGAGGATGTGTTAACTTATTTTCACTTAGAAAATCAACAAACAATGGGTGTTCATGTTTGCGTCCAGCTGTGTTTTACATTATTTAACAGACTCTTACCTTCACAACAATAAGTGATGAAATGAATGACATTCAAAGTGCAGCCAAGAGCATTCTCAGTCACTTCTTTAGTTTCGTAACAAACACTGGAACACCTCGCTGAGCCAGCAGTCCTGAACGAGATTTATGTTAGTTTATCAACATTATTTTTACTGTATATTTTATTTAACAGGGGCAACACACATCAATTATCATTATTTCACCATCTAATTGTGCCAGATTTAGCCAAGAGGCTACTTTTCATCTGCAGTCCCTGGGCAGGATGACGTTAATAATGAAATAAACAGTACTTCTCACATAGGCAACAACAGAAATCACAAGGCAACACTAAAAGTGCTTAGTCACAAAACACAAACTAAAGCCATAAAACATGAATACACACAAGGCAATAAAACAAGCAAACAACCAGTTTAAAAAGACTGAGCTTCCAGTAACCATTTTGGTTTTTGTTTTGATAATAAACCAAAGGTTGTCAAGCTTTTTAGGTCACAGGGAAGAGCTTTGAGCTTTCCATCACTCTGTATGAGCTTTGACCACTGTAAGTTAGCTTTGCATTGAGGACAGTTACGATAAGCCACAAAAACACATAGCTACACAAAGATTTAAAAAAATAATTTACTTAATTACACTTACCTTCATGTCATCACTGCTATCTAGGTCAGCATCTGGCTCCATGTCTGAATATGCTATTTTTGACCTTTTTTGGAGTATTCATTAAAGGGGTGTATAAATTTGTAGTTTTTTTTGCAAATCCAAAACTGAAATATGTTGATAAAAACCCTAATATATATATACCTCACATTGCATGGCCATTACAGTGAAACTCTGAGTGGCCAGCAGAGGCCACTATGGGGTCTAGAAGAAGGGAAATGGTCATTGCACTGCCGGCGAGCACGTTCTTCTACACATGCATCAGTGCCTAGAAAAGGATGTCAAGTAATCGGTTGTATTATTGCCCAGAATTACAGTATTGAGTCGATAATGATAATAAGGTTTTTACTTTTATCAGCCAATAATATGTTGTACACCGGTATATTATGCATCGCTAAAAAAAATAAAGGAAACCCCTTCATCGGTCAGTGTGTGCAGACCTTTGACGCTGTACATGTGTGTGGCCAATGCTCAGCATCATCTCACAGAAAGCCTGCAGGTGTTAAGAGCCAGTCCCTGCTGTCTACTGCGGTGCGGCTGAAAATCAATAAGCAGCTGCGTCTCTGTTTGTACTGGATTATGGATCAGCAAAAAAGCAGAGCGGAGGCCGTTCCCAGGAGAGCCCCAAAACTCCACAGAGCCTCTTACCTTTTGCTCTGAGCCACACTAACCTTCATCCACTCCTCTTTTGACTGTTATGGAATACATACTGCGTTCATGGGCTGACAGATTTATTAGTGTTATAAAGGCAACGTGGCTTTGCTGTCTGTTATCCAAAATATGTAATTATGAGCCATAGTTGTGATAGTACGCAATAAAAATAAACACGTATTCTGTGTTAGTTTCCATTAACCTGCACATGCATAACCTGTACATAATGTGGTTTAGTGTTACAGATGCTCACATCTTAAATCGGGTGAAGTAACTCATCCAGTGTCTTAATCAGGTGTTGTCATTCTTGGCTAGAGTGGCGGTTTCTAAACAAATGTGTTACAAATGTGTTTTTAAACATAAATTGTTCCTTTTTTATATTGGAAATATTTATTTGAGAAATGTTACCATGTATTGTTACTAAGGCCAAACATTTGCTTGCTTAAAATAGCAATTTGTGACACAAATCAACATGTTTTTTAGTTTTGTTTGTAGGGCTGGGCGATATTTATTGTTGCTGTGATACATTATGTGACAATGTGCTTTTCTGAGCATCTTGGATATCAGGAGAATCTGAAAAGCCTAAAATATATGTATGCATACTTAATTCAAAGGAGACCATAATTAGATCTGTTTAATTGGATTCAATGCAGTACAGTATGTGAAATATTAAATAAAAATCATTGTATTCATAATTGTTGATAACATTTTTTAAATTTGGCAATACTAGAGCTTTTTTGTCTGTTCCAACTTATCAAACCTCAGAAAAACTATCATGTCTTGAAGTATTGTGATGCTGTGATATCTTTGCTGAATCGCCCACCCCTGTTTGATCATGTTCTTTTCCTATGAGATTCATGAAGACATTAGTTAAAGACACGATTACATCAGAGGCAGAAATGTTTTGTCTCTGCCTAAAAGCAAACACCTGATCTTCTTCTCAGATCTATCTTTTGAATACAGTCAGGCCGCTGTGTCTTATCAAGCTTGTGTTTTGTGTTCTCAGACTGTTCAGGAGTCAGAGGCTGTTCAGGAAGAGCTGAAGAACAAAGTGGAGAGATTAAAGGCAGAGCTAGTCGTCTTCAAGAGCCTCATGAGTGATGTGAGTATCTGCATATGCTACATTACTCTCTCCGTTCATATTACCTGTACTTGTGTTACAGCACAAGTCTGAAAGGTCTAACTGGCCCAAGAAGTGGACTGTGGATCAAATGCACTAGTGAACCCAGAATATTGCACAAGTGATTTCAGCCACATTTACAAACATTTACAAAACCAGCCGTCTTATCCAACAGCAAAACATTTCTAACTTGTAGTCAAATTCTGCCTGATCTTTTCCCTGATCCTCTCTTGTGACCAGGAGGGTACAGAGCTTTCTTTATTTCAGTGCTTTTCGCCACCAGCACTATAAAACAGAGAAGTCATGTGCCAGCGCTAGCTATTCATTGCATAGACATGATCTCAAACATCATATCCTGGAAGACCTCTGCAATACATCACCACTGATCTGGTTGTTAAGGAACGAGTAAACAGTTTATCCAAGTTTCGTCTGGATTTCCATTGACTCGTCTTGCACTGCGGTTGTTCAGGAACCTTCTTTAACTTGTTCATCAGTGAATGAAGCTAATCACTGTTACATTACATGGCCTACATATTTTACGTTTAAAGGGCCAGTTGGTAAACTGGAGCTCTCGCAGTTACAAGGTGAAGCTGGAGCGATTTGTTGACTCCTTGAACCTGCTACCCACCCTGGCCCATGTACTTGTACACCCTCCCATAATCTGTTGTGGTCAGCAGAGCTCAGACGGGCTTGAATCCTCAGCCACGACACCAAGAGGCAAACATTTTAAACAATGAAGCCACCGGGCGTCTTACCCCTTTTACATTATATTGCTAGCTAGATAGCTAATTACCTTCCTAGCATTATAGAAAGCCTTTACATTACTTTCTAGACAGTTGTCTTCAAACCGCTGTCCCACAGTAAAAAAAACAAAAAAAAAACAATTACATATTCAGAACTTAGTTGTTGATTCTGAACAGTCCTAACATGTCTTAACAGGTGACATAGTCAAGCTCAAATGAGCAAACATTACTCATTGCTGCCTTCTAAAGGTGTTATGGCACCAAGTTAGGAGTTTTGTTCCTATAATCTCCATGAAATGTCTCAATACATGTTTTTGCTTTATACTGCTTTGTTAGCCTTAACCCCAAATTAGATGACCCTAATTTACATAGTGTTTGTTGCAACATAAACGTATATTTGTAATAACTAACAACTGTGGGGAAAATTGTTTTCCGCTTAGATAATTCCGATCGACTCAATTATGATCAGGCGGTTATGTAATAACTGTGATCTGATTTGTTGCCTAGGAGAAGAGTGAGAGGTTGTGTTGTTCTTTGTAATAAGACAAATGATCACATTAACAATTATTTTTCATATTTTCTGCATGTATCTGCAGGTTATTTTGTAATCATAAGACTTTGCACCTTTAAATGCAATCATAAGGATTCTGAGATTATGAAGCATCTTATTCTGAGTCGCTAATGATTTTTATCATGAAGGGTGGCTGGCGTCTCGGTTCTCGCTCTAAAACCGCAGAAAACCAGAGGAAGTTCCTCGACCTGAAAGTAAGAGACAGTATGGCTGCTCTTTCTTCCCAGACTAACCTGCCTGGTGTGGAACTCATGGAATCACAATGATTTTACATTGTATTAGCGACCCAAGCTCTACCCATACGGAATGTCTGAGAGAGAAAAAAATGACGGTTTAGTTTGTTTATTTTAATGTGGTGATGTGAAGTAAAGGTGGAAACCTAACAGAAGTTGTTTTGGTTGAGCGTTGTCTTGTATGTCGTTGTTTTGGTCAAGAAAAATTAATGGATGGCTTCCAGGCATGTGAGTGAGGACTGGAACCATCTGTTTGCAACCTTTACTCACTTGCATGGAGTAAAAATAATGTATTAATACAGTATAAAAATAGTGCTTACAATAAAATATAATAAGCACAGCTTCTATTTGTAGCTCTCTGAAAATACTGCATTTCTTGCTCTGCTGCTTGTCCAGTGTAGGCAGTACGGATAGACTACCTTTCTTTGACACTGAGGCACCTTCGTTTCCTTTTGTAGCAAATGTCTGAACTGGACACCAAGATCCAGGAGAAGGCCATGAAAGTAGACATGGACATCTGCAGGAGGATCGACATCACGGCAAAACTTTGCGACGTGGCACAGCAGAGAAACTCAGAAGACATGTCTAAAATGTTCAACGTCAGTCCATCCAGGGCCCCAGCGGTACGTGTCACACACAAACTCACACACATAAAGTACTCTAGATGTCCAAAAGTTCGGACGCCTGGCCATCCAGCGTTTCTCCTGAAATTAATAGAAGGTACTAATAGATAGGTATTAATGGAAGGTTTATCAGCCTTTGCTGCAGGAACGCCCTCTACTCTTCTGGGAAGACTTTACACTAGATGTTGGAACATTGTTGTGAGGATTTGATGGCACTGAGCCACAAAAGCATTAGTGAGGTCAGGTACTGATGTTGGATGATTAGTTTTGGATCACAAACACCACTCCAACTCATACCAAAGGTTTTGGGTTGTGCTCCATCCTAACGCAGTTCTGACTCTCCACAGCCCAATGCTGTGGTGCTTTCTACCCATCTAGTCGACGCTTGGCAGTGGACATGGTGACCTTAGGCTCATGTGCAGCTGCACCAGTGTCCCATACTAGCACTTGCCTGCAGTGCTTCTTTATGGAGATTTTACAAGCTGTGTGTGCAATTGAACACCTGTGTCAGCAGTGTGTGAAAAATAGCTGAGTTCACTATCTGGGTACTTTTGGATATATACTGTAGTCGAGAAGTACAGAACACACAGAAGCAGCACAACAAGAACAAAGCCCAGCTTTGACATGAAAATATAATCTGACGCATAACATAGAGAGAACACACAGGGAGGGACAGAACTGCTGAAACAGCACCATTCCCCCTTTCCACACAAGGTTTTCACATTGCATGCAGGAGGCTAAAACACACTAATAAATCTAACCTACAGAGGCTTTTCATACAGTGCTTAGGGCATCCAGTAATGGCGTTTAGTACTGCAGGAAATGAATGGTGATGGGACTGGTTTAACATGAAAAGGTGGTGTCATGTATTTTTACTGTTATTTTTCAGTGACCTTGGTCCAGCCTGAGTGTTAGTTTGAAGGTGTAGATTGAAATGTGTAGGGTCTTACATTGGAAGGGGGAGCTTCATGTATAGTCCTTTTCCCAAACTATAGTTATTTCATAACTGAAATAGGAGTCTGGGCCTGGTCATAGGAGTTTAATGTGTTAATGATATTGGAGATGTATAACAGTGTTGTAATTTTGGTTCTGAATTGTATTTTTTCCATGTGCCCTTGTTGTTTTTGCCTAATGCCTGATGCTGGCCTTTTCTGCACGTGTGTGCTCCCAGGGGGCTGTGGCCTGCAGGAGGAAGGAGAAGAAGGCTGGGTCAGACGAGGAAAGCTCCGAAATGGATGCAGATCCCAGCACCTCAGAGGAAGAAGTGCCTGGATCTCTCAACATTACAGACGAGATGAAGAGGATGCTCAATCAACTGTAAGTGGCAAAGTGCGTCACAAACTGCACAGTGTCCGTGAGCTGCTGTGCTCAGGGACAGAATTACAGCATGGCTGATAGTATGTCCTCTGACCCCACCAAGTGGTGAAAAGTGGAATTATTAAGTCCTGGAAGCTTGCAGGTGCTGGCTGACATGCTGTTTTTTTGCTTGTGTTAAGGTAAAACTCGCAACAGAACTATATCTCTGTGTCTCTGGATGAAATCTTGCAGTCTGTGCATGTGCATGTCATTGTCCTCTTGCATGAATTCTTCCACATCTTTTCTCCTCTGTGGCAGTCTTTGGTGTGTCTTCACTTCCTGCTCTTCTTTCCTCCTTTTCCTGTCTCTTCCCTTTTCTTCCCCACGTTGCAGACATTGCTCAGATAACTCATTTGTTGCCAGGCGGGAGACTTTTGACATAGACGATGACTGTGACAGTTTGACATGGGAAGAGAACGAAGAGACGCTGCTGCTATGGGAAGACTTCACCAACTACAACGTGCCCTTCTCCATCAACAGCACAGCCAACGGCCCAGACTGCAATGGAGGCAGCCAGGAAGCGGTCAGTTTGCATCCCAGACCATCACAGGACTCCTGAAGGACTTAATGCTTGTTTTTAAAGTATTATCTTAGAAAAAACATCACACAGCTTTCCTTCTTTCCCTAACTGTGATCGATCAGTGTTTGGTCTCCAGAGTTTGTTTCTATAGTTACTGCACTGCAGTATTAGCTCAAAGCTAATGTAGCTAACATGTAATGGAAGCTTATAGCCACCAGTTAGCATTATGCAAACAACATGCATAATTCATCACTTGCTCCAAATTGCATTGAGTTATCAGCATTAAATAAATAAGTAAGTGAAGGATGTAATGATTTAGGCATGCAGTCTGTATGATGCTTATTGGTGGCTATAAGATATAGGAATTGTGGGTCAAAGCCTATTTCTGATATTTTTCATGTACATATCTGCTGATATGCGGATACATAAACATATATGAAAAAAGTAGAAATTATGACCATGTCTGCCTAAAATGACAGTTGACAAAGTAACATTTATTTATTTAGGGTTAAAAAATGCAAAAAAAGTCCTAGCCCAACATCCTAAAAGTTTTGCTCCTCTGGATTCCAATAAAATCATCAAATAATGTCAAATCTAAAACTCTGTCCAATGCTGCTCATTTTCTTGAGCAATCATGTTCCAGCCATGTGCAAATGAAGTATGTTTCCATATATTTTTCAACATGTGTCAAGCTTGTAATATGTTTCCATGTTTGACATATATGTAAATGTTAAAGACATATTTCTTGTATATATGCATGTATTTGAATATTCAAAAGTGGCACAGTTAGATATATTTAGCACATATATTTTAATATGTTTAATATGTTTAACCTTTTTAATATGAGCAAATATATGAGCATATGTTTTTCTTCCATAAGGGCAGTACCGATATGACTCTGATATCACTGTGCATCACATGTGGCTATTAATTTCAGTCATGTGCAGAAGTAGACATCCCATGTTCTACGTGAACATAAATTAACACATACACTACAGAGAAACACACTGAAATATGCAGTTTTTCTACAAACTTTAGTGCACAACTACAGTGTATTCACTCAGGCTCACTATCTGTATTTTTCCAGGTTTCGCAGGACGGCAGTCTGGGCAGCCTTATCGACGAGACTGAGTCTCTTTTCAAGGCCAGAGAGCAGGAGTACCAGGCAACTATTGGCCAGATTGAGGTGAATAAGTCTGCCTTGTACACTGTTTGATAAAAACAGTTTTTATCTGTCTAGCGCTTTGTAAAAAGTCTTATGTAGGCACTCTGGAAATGTATTTATATTTTTCTACATCCCTTGAGGTTTAGCTCTTGCTTTCCTTGGAAAAATAATTACAATTTTATTTGAAACGGATGCTAACATCTGCCAAACTTCTTTCATATAAGCCCGGAGGAGGGAATAAAATTTGTGCTCCTGGTGTACAACATTGATTTGTGAGGTAGATGAATGTGTCTAGTTGGTTTGTTGTGCTTTCAACAGCTGGCACCTGCCCCTGATATCCTATTTATTAGCTCTTTCATGCCCTGCCTACCTTTCTTCTCTCTGCAGATGGAGCTGGCTACAGCTAAGAGTGACATGAACAGGCATCTGCATGAGTACATGGAGATGTGCAGTATGAAGAGAGGGCTGGATGTGCAGATGGAGACATGCAGGAGAATGATCAAGGGGGGCAGGTACTGACCCACTCCTGCATGCATTATGAACATGTCTTCTATGCACAGTCTGTTGACATGGAGTAATATAGCTGTTAAAGGAATAGTTTGGTGAAAAAAAAATCTCCTTACTCCAAATGTAGCCAAAATGGATCAAATACTGAAAAAATGCTGGCTTCAGGATGGCTGATAACTCTGGTTTTTAGCTTTGTTATGCACCTTTATAGGTAACAGTTTGAGACAAGTATGTGATGATGGCATGTAGTTGTGCACAACGCTAATTGTTGGGATATAAGCTTCCCTTCCTTTTTTTGTTAGCTACATTAGCCTTGTAGCTCCAATCCAAAACTTAAAATCCAGACTTTGGACACAAGCGTGACTTGGCAGTCCAGTTTAGTTTGAAGTAAAGGAAAAATTGTGTTGATTTGCCACCAAACTCTCCTTTCAATGGAAGACTTTTGCCAAAAATGATTTTTTCTTCTTAAAAAAGAAAGAAAGAAACAGTTAGCATTATGAAAATGATTAGCATGCTAACTGACTCCTATGAGCTGTTATTCACCGTTAACCACGTTAGGGTTTGTGTTTTGTTAAAGGGGCTTTCTGACCTCAAACCAGTGTTTAAGATATATATTATTTTTTGTCATGTTATGCTACATTTTTAGCGTTGCATCCCTCAGCCTCAGACAGAGTTCATGATTTTGTGTCCTTTTTGTGCTTCCATTTAATGATCTCTCACTACAATACCCAGCGTGCATGATGCAAATACATCATACATCCTTTGGCAACCACCCCACTGCGATAAGTAAATTATGACTGCGAGACACTGATGTAGAGGATAATAAAGTGAAGAGTTTTATTCCAAAAAACTGTATATCCATTAGTAACTTTTTTGTCAAGAATAACAGCTGATGTATAATAAAAGACACATTTTCTGTTTCTCTAACAAAGGTAGTATAAATCATAGTAGAGCATTTATGCTTCATGTATGCATAAAGCCCACTCCCAGCAATGTGTGATTAAAAGAAATCTTGCAAGTGGTCTGTAATGCTTTTTGCAACAAAACCCTTCAAATACAGCCCACCCTTAAGTATCAGCCCAAAAGCACTTGTAGTTTTCCAAAGGTTCCTCCCACCTTCAGAATTCCCAAGTTCCCAATGTCCAAGTTTTTCAACCAGAAAATCTTTCTCTAGAGGTTACTGCAGCAAATCTGTTGAATGCAAATGGGCTTGTTACAACGGATGTTTTCAAATTTAGTGAGATTGCCCCTTTAACCCTTATGTGGTGTTCAGGTCTGTGGAACCCATTTTCAATGTTTACCAGTAGAAATGATGCGATTTATTATTATTTCAACTTCAGATTTTTTGGCTTTGATCATTTTCTGTGAAGAACAAATAAAATAACACATTTGCAGTGACTTCACATGTGGTGTTGGGTGAATCCGCAGGAAATGAAAGTGTGGAGGTGCTGTGTCCCTTCACTCTGTTCTCCTCCTACATGGCCTGCTGTTAGTGTGTGTGTGTGTGTGTGCGTGCATATATGTGTGTGTTAGTGTGTGTGCAGTATTTTGTGTGTGTGTGTGTGCGTGCATATATGTGTGTGTTAGTGTGTGTGCAGTATTTTGTGTGTGTATGTGTGTGTGTGTGTGTGTGAGCATTCCCTAAAACACTGCTGTGGCTGTATTTGTTTCATCCTCACACTGACCACACACTGTTTTTTTTTTTCATCACAGGAACTCTCCGTCCTTCAGCTCAGTGGCGAGCAGTGACTCAGGGAACACTGATGAGATTCAGGATGAGTCGGACAAGGATGGAGACACAGAGGGGCCAATCAGCTGATATCGGCCGAGCTTGGCCCCGCCCCTCCCCTCACTGAGCTCCAATCAGCTCCAGGGCCGCTCAGCATTCGGCCAGTGATTCTGAGCAGTATCAGTCCAAAGGAGCTCTGAGGGACAGGGCCCATTTCTGAGAATACTGTAGGTGCTTTAAAAAGTCTCCGTTTCTTTGGGGGGGGAATGCTCCTTGAGTGTTTTTTTGAAAGGGTCATGCAGCATCACGGCTGTGCTCTTTTCCTCCGTCTGCTGAGGCTCCACGCTTACCTTATAGGGTACCCATCAATCAAATCAACCTAACCAATCACAATCATCATTCACAGCAGTGTCACCATAGACAAGCCAAAAATATATCAAGCCAAATTCACTGAGAGACGATCAATATCTGTAGCAAGAAACCACAGCATTTTACAGGGAATAAAACACATAAAGAGCCATTCGTCTGAATATCCAGCATGTGTTTGAATATTCATTAGGAAAAGATGCCAGGCTGTATTTTCTGCATTTTGTACAATTCACTTTTTTCACATGGTGGTTATTTTGCTTATTACGTCACACCCAGGGTGGGAAGAGGCTAATTATTGTGCATTGGGGTCATCGCCAAGGCTCTGCTTATGACTAGAGGAAGGCTTAAAGTTAATGTCATTTACTGACATTATTGCTGCTATCAAAAACAAATCGGGCAGTAGTTTTCTCTGAAGAGGAAGCTGTTCTCCGTTGCACGTTCATGTTGTTAATATTAGCTAGCAGTCAACAGAAATAAACTGTGGGTTGAAGTTTATATTAATATTACCATTTATTATATTTGTACAGTGTTATTAGATTGCTTTCCATGGCTGGACTGTTCATATCTCTTCTTGGTCATGATGAAAATGGTGCTGACATCCGAACTCTGCCAATTTGTGTTGCGTCAAAAATAACCATAACGAACTGCATAACAAACTTAATCATGTGGTGCCTCCTAATGTAAAACCCAGTCTTACAGTAAAACGGAGACCACTTGACAGCAGCATATTATTACTGTCATGCAAAAATATTGTATCTCCACTTTTGTTGTTTTTTTTTTACTTTTTTGCATTATTTGAGAAGTCTAGTTACCCTTTACTTTACATTGTGTTCAAAATTTTAAGATTAACGGACCAACCAAAATGGTTCAAAATTACTTGGAAAAAAATATTTTGTTTAGGCATTGGCGATACGATACAGTAACTGAAGTGTCATTGATATAATAACCACTGTTGCTTACTCACTGTACTGTTTTCCCATGATATCAGTTATAATGTGCTGGTTGGTGATATGATGGGCCATTGGATTCCGGAAATTTTGGAGTCACCTTACCTTTATGGTATTTGAAAGACGATCCTATCCAGAGCGGCTTACAATTTTGATAATTTTTACCCTCGGTGGACGAAGACTGTGGTAAAAGTCCTGTCCAAGGACTATTACTGACATAGTGTAGGGTTCTTGCCCAAGCAGGTGATTGAACCACAGTCTCAGCAAGCAGAGGTGTTACCTGCTACACTGTACCAACCACTTTTGACAGTTTTGGTCCTATATGATGGGAATTGATAGAGTTAATTACACAAAACAGTTTTCTCAGATCTCAAGACAGGAAGGGGTTAAGTGTGAACACAAGCCAGAATTGAAATACAAGTAAGACTGAAATGGCTCGAGAACTAACTTAGTACAGTTTCTGCAAAGTTACCAAAAGTTTGCCACTTGTGTTTACGACATTTTTGTATTGTTTATTTGTATTTATTTTTACTTGTATTCACAATAACTTCATATCAAAGTACCCAATAATTTCCCTTTTCCCACCCTTTGTGTGCTGTAATAAGCAGTAACGGCACACTGTGAATAACACTCGGAGGGTTTGTGCGACAGCTTTATCGTCCTTTTTGCAGCCTGTCATCACTGATGGAAGCCCAGTGGCGCGCGTGGAACGCAGCACAGCTCATGCTATATCTCAGTTCTATGCAATCGGGTAGCCTTATTTCAGGACTGATGTTTGTTGTCTGTGTCGTTATTTGCCTTCATTTGCTGGGCAGACTTTTCTCTCTCTGTCGTACGGTGTTTCTCACTGTCGTACCTGTTCCGCTGCGGACAGGAAACGGCAAGGCCTGCTGTGTTTACAAGCCCAAAAGAGGAAGTTGTGGAGCGATGGATTCCCGCCTTTTTTCAAGAGCACTCTGCTAACACGTTCAGACCGTTCCGGTTTCCACATCCAGTATTTTAAATCAAAATTTCAAATTCCACAGAGCTATGTGCCTGAACTTCTGACGGGACTTTATTTTGATGGCCTTATTGTATTCGCATTGCTTTTTAGATAACTGCACTCTACGTGAATGCGCTGATAAACTTGTTTTGTGAGTGATTTTTTTTTTTTATCTTATTATTTTTGGGGACTTCTACAATAACAAAGCTGCCTTTATTTTGTTTTGAGCAGCTGTAAATGATTTCAGGTAGGAATTTTGATGGACAGTGGACAGTTTTTTTTTTCCAGAGCGGGTTACAGTCACTATTATGGATTGCCAGTATACATGACTGCAGATATATTAATCATGATTTATTTGGTTTCATTCATCATCAGACCAGCAAATCTACAGCAAAACTACAAAACATCATACGCCAGCATGATCTTACCACAGCTCTCATTTGGCCAGCAGGGGTCACTGCTCCATAAAGATTCACTATTCCAACTATGTGACTTGGCTGAAAAAAGCCATTATAATTTGTGTTGTCATACCTCAGTGGCCTTTCTGTTCATCTTGCTGTCTGAAATTCCTCTTGCTTTGTATTTTTGGGAATTGTTATGCTGTATATTTGTTTCTTATTTTGTATTTACTCACATAAGTGTTGTTTTTGATTTTGTTTGTATTGAAATTTCTTTGAACATGTTATAGATGATGGGTCCATGTAGCCTTGAAAGGGAATTTCCTTTTTCAAAATTTCTGCATGATTTAATGGTTGGGATGTAAACAGTCATTCAGAGTGGTTTGATGTGAAAATGATCATTTTTCCATTTTGGATTTCTTTACAGTGGTGATAGAAACCAGGGGTTATAATGTCTACAACACAGATGTAATCATTTTATTTTCTATCCAGAATGAACAGTTTTATATATAAGACAGAAAAAAAGAATTTGGTGATTTTGCCTTAAATTGCCCAGCATGTTCTTCTCCACCATAAATGGCTTTTATGTTTTAGGCCAAAACTGTATCTCGAAGCTGTCATTAAGGGAGCTTTTAGAGGCATTAAACTCTTCAGACGTCTGGTTCCCATCACTGTAAACTACCACTGGTTCCCTACCACTGTAAACAATTCTGATTTAGTAAGTTTCTCCAGAATGGAAAATGTCACATTAAACCACTCTGAATGACCTTATTTACATTTTAATGAATTATTTATGTGAAAATGTAAAAAATCTGTGGAATTCCTTTTAAATAACAAAACTGGTTGCAGGCAAAATGTAAAATCAACTAGTGTTTTATCACATTCATTTGAAAAAAGTTGCACAAAACAGCTACATACATTCACAATCAGTGACTCTTCAAACCTGTAACCCTTCAAAATGAATCCACTTTGATTATAATGCTGTATAAAGATCTATATGGGATTTCCGGATGTATCCGAGATCGATGACCTGCTTGAGAATTTTGTAAAGTTCCCTTTTTTATAATGTTCAGGGTAAGCAGGTTTTGATTGTGATGCTTTTCTCTGGAAAATGAAACATGCACTAACAGAATTGCCTTTTAGCCTAAAACACTGACGGTGTTTCATCTGAAACAGACCCAACCACACAAATCAGACTGTCTGTATTTTGTTTCGGAGTTGTTTTAAGATCTATTAGAGAGACTTTGTACTTATTAAAGATCTTTTCATGTAATTTTGACTCAGCACAACGTAGTGTGAGCTGTGGTTTGCAGCAAAGTGGGTGTATTTAATCATTGCTGGAAGTAAAAGAGACGCTAGCAAGTTTGTTCAGTCTGACTACCTGTTAGACTCTGCAAGACCACTGGGTGGTCATAAATGCTTTAAAAGCATTCAGGAAAGATTACGAATATGTTAGTGTTGGACCTCAGAGCACAGGTTTGGAATGCTTTTTATTGTGGAGATTAAGTTATATGTGTTTTTTGGGTGGGACTCACTAGTTGAGTCTATATGTATCTATATGGATGTATTATAACTGGGATTGGAATGTAAGGACATTAAATGTAAAGGCATGGCTAATAAGAGTTACTTGTACAGAACATGAAAGTCCAGGAGAGGATCAGATTAGGGTGCACGATGATATCAGAATCATGTCGGTCTCAGATAATTGTTCAGAAAGTATTTATCAGTATTGGACCGATGCTTTGATTTGAACTGATATTTGATGATGCTTCTATTGTGCTCTGGAAGAGCAGAATGTTCTGGCGACATTGGATTACTACACTAAAATATCTGTGTTTTGTTCATTTTACTGCATTTTTAGCCCTCTACAAATACATTTTACATTACTCTGCAGTGCAGATCCAAGCAGATGTAGGATTCAGTCACATTTACCACATTTTACAAATGCATATATGTTTTAGCATCATCAACGGATACGTACGTGGAAGACATCAGGTATCAGCATCGGCCCAAAATCCCCATATTGGTGCATCCCTTATCAAATCATCTGTAATATCTTCACAAGATCTTTACTTTTGCTCCTCTGCGTCACATACTCTACCATTTAAAACTTAGACCCGATCATGATACCTCAGTCACTGAATATTAGGTCATGTAGAGCCTCACCGACAAAGAGCCTTTGCTTTATGTATGTAATCCAGCCATTTAACGGACCTTTGTTTGATAGCTTCCCTCCGTTCTGTTAAACTGTGTTTTAATCATTGCTTTACAGAACAAACTTTACAGTGTACTATTGCCGCATTGCACTGCATAACATGTCTTTTGGTGTGTATAACCTTTTGTTTGTGGACTGTTTAGAACAAATACTAAGTCAGAAGTCGTTATGCATCAAGCATCAAGCGGTCTGGATAGAGCTCTGATTGGGCCTAGTCTGGGAGACCCTGTTAAAGAGTAATAATAGAAATACTGTTCATGCAAACAGGGATTTGTTTTGCATACTTTTCCAAAAGGGGGGAATTATATTATGTTTAACATTTTATTACATTAATTTCAACATTTGCAGCACAGCCATAAGCTTCATTGGTAGAATGTCTTCCAGTGTAAGTGATGTTCTAAATGCTCATAATGATATTTTTTCTTTTTTTAAATGTCTTGAAATGCACATGTATATTTGAAAATGTGCTTTTTCTGGCCATTGTCAAAATATTTGTTAATGATTCAGATAAGTACTTTTGCATTTGGCGTGCGGGTTGAATGTACGGACGTTTCAAAATGATGAATGTGATTGGTGCTGGGGTTAAAAAAAAAATAAAAAATGATTTATTTCTCACTTGTGTGGACTTGTTAAAGGGGATTTCTTATTGATTGTAAACAGTGACACACTGTGACTGTTCAGGCCTCTGTTCATGTCAAAACATGGTCAAAAACAAGAAATACCTGCCTCAATGACGACGCTAATTTCTGCTAGCAGCCCAGTTTGATTTCTAGTAGAAGGTTAGCCCTAGCATAATGGTAGTGTATGTTAATATTTTTTCATTCATCCTAGATTAATTACAGACATTTGTAGCTTGTACAGAGACATTCCACAAGTTTTATTTAAAGCTTGTAACAGACAACATGTATTTCATAGTGTATGTAGCAGCTTTACAGCGACTTAGTAGAGAGCCCTGAAATAGAGCTGCTGTCATTGTTTTCCATTTCTAACATCTGACTTAAACCTGGTTAGGCTACCACTCATATTCACAGTCAGTGACATATCTGGGACTTCCAGGAGGCCCAGAGTGACTTTTTTCCATAAAATTGCTTCCTCTCATTGGAAACGTGATTAGTTGATTCTGCTGTCACTTCCTAATTACGTTGATAGTTAAGCTACGTTGGTAAGTGTAAGGCCTTCTGTCCAGCTTCTGAAGGCCTAACCAATGGGAGAGCTCGCTTGGCTGTATCTACCTAGATATCAAAGAAAGAAAAATCCTGATTGGACAATTTTTCAATTCAAGATTTATATTTTGTTTCTGAGAAAAATGTAACAGTAAAACAAAGGTATTACCGCATTACTTTAAATAATTCACTAATTAGAAGAGGTGTCTAGATACGTTTGGACATATAGTGTATATACTAAGAAGTTCCATTGCATTTATACATGCAACTCAGTACTTGAAGAATGTTTGATCTGATACTTCTTTAAATAGTTTATTTGCTAGGCTATTCTACTTGAATCAGTATATATTTTACATCACTTCCTAATTATGTTGGTATTTAAGCTAAAGTGTAAGGCCTCCTGTCCAGCTCCTGAAGGCCTAACCAATGGGGGGACTCGCTTGGCTATATCTACCCAGATAACATAGAAAGAAAAATCCTGATTGGACAATTTTCCAATTCAAGATTTAGATTTTGTTTCTAACCACTGCAAACAATAAAATAAAAGTACTACTACAATACTTTTTTCAGAGATTAAATACAATAAGTACGGAGATTCTGTATAAAAATGAACTCAAAATTAGATTTATTTTAGTTCCAAGGAATCATGTGGCTCTGCGGGTTCCCCACTGCTTGTAGAAGAGATCATGAGATGTGATATGCAGCATGATATACTTGACTTTATAGTCCTCACCTCTCCTATATAATCACCAGCTCTATTTTGTAACTGTTATGTTCTTTAGCCTTTAGCTAAATGGTCAAATATAATTTGTGTTCTTCAGGTGGGTTTTAACTACTTCTGTTTGCTCAGTAACATGCACTTAAACTCAATTTTGACTATTTTGAAATGGTATTAATTATATACTTATACTGGAGTATATTTTTGTGGAAAGGAATCTTTTCCTGTTTTATTTCAGTTGTTCACATTTAGTTTGTAGTTCCTTTTTGTGACTGCTTTGCTGTTGCCCACATCACTCTTCTCTACTTGTAGCCTGTGACTACATGACCAGCTCCTGACAAACTTCAGTTCCTATGCTGACAGATACCCAACTCACTCTATATATCCAAAGGTTTGGAGACACCTGCTCATCCAGTGTCTATTCTTAAATCAAGGGTCTTAACAGGTCTTAACAGGTTCGCTGAACTAACAGCCTCTAGTCTTCTGTAAAGGCTTTACGCTAGATGTTGGAACATTGCTATGAGGATTTGATTGCATTCAGCCACAAGAGCATTAGTGAGGTCAGGTACTGATGTTGGCTGTTTAGTTCTGGATCACTGCAGCTCATGCCAAAGATGTTGGATGGAGCTCCATCACTCCATAAAATGCAGTCCCACTGCTCCACAGTCTAGTGCTTGGGGAATTTATACTGCTTTGGGTGATGCTTGGCATTGGGCAAAGTGACCTTATGCTCCATGTGCAGCTGCTCCAGAGTGTTGCTTTCTTTTTGCAACACTATGATCTATGGAGATTATACAAACTGTGTTCACGCAGTTGAACCTGTCAGCAGTGTGTGCACCTTAAAACAGCTGAATCCTCCAATTAGAAAGGGTGTCTAGATACTTACATATAGTGTGGACAATAGTGTGGACTTAGGTCATTCTACAGAAACGTCCACATTTCTATCCATCCATAGGTGTCACTGGTGTTACCAGTCCTCATTGGTGTTACACATAAGAAAGGTAACACCAGAGACAGTAACACCAGTGACTGCATTTGACAAAATGGCTGCTACAGAGCATCAAACCACATGTTGTCAATCATGGAATATCCACTAAAATATGGAATTTAATCCATTTGTATTCTATTTATTTTACAATTACTTAAGAATAAAGTCGGTCACACCAGTGACTTCAGCTAAAAGCTTCATATGAAATCATGAGCTAAATGAGAAAATTTCTGACAACCGAAAAGACACAGTAGACTCACCATGAGCTTTTCTTCATAGATCTTCAGAAAATAGGTAAAAGGAAATCAAGTGTCATCAGTGTGATTTTTACTTCAAAATAAGAGATCTTTTGTTACGCGGTAACACCAGTGACAACTCCTGGGGACAGCAGCTTCCATTATGTATTTTATAATATTTATTTGCCATTTTTTAATGTCATTTAAATAATATATTTCATAGTCATGTATAGATTATTGTAGTTAAAATGAAAAACTTTTACAAAATATGGCACTCACCCCATGACTGTGGGGACAAGCACTTCTCTGGTGCTTGGAATTCTATATAACTGATTTAAAAACCAGTATTGCTAAATTGAAGGCTGAAGAAGGTGTAATTGTTAAATTAACTTATTGTTTTATTTGAAAATGTAAATAAACTGTAACCCTAACATGTTTTTCAGGTGTAATACATCAGTAAACGCCAGGGACATAATAAATGACCCACTTACAGTGTATATACTAAAAAGTTCCTTTGCATTTATACATACAGCTCACTAGCTGAAGAGTGGTTAACCTGATACTTTCTTTTATAGTAGTTTATTTGCTAGGCTACCTTTACTTGGGTCATTACGTCATTTACGTAACAACACTTGAGGGTGGTTTTAGGCTGTCTGTCACAGGTGGTTTGTGTCGATTTGAAGAACCAACCAGAGTTTTTTATAAAGAAAATGGTTCTTTATAACTTTATTAAGCAGCGATGGAAAAGAAATATTAAATAAATGAACCTCAGTCGTCCACAGTTTTATGAAATAGACCATGATGACTGATCACTTTACGCTTTATAAATAGACCTTTCGTGTCAGAAATTACGGCCGTGTGATTGGCTAAGGAAAAACGCCTTCAACGCTGATTGGCCAGTCAGAGACTCGCCCTCTGGAACGATCTATTCAACAACGGCAAGGTTGGGACAACATTTTATTTCAGCTAATATATCAACTGCATGCTAAATTTAAGCTTTTTAATAACAAATAATACATATTTCTCACTATAATATCCCTAATAAACGGTTCTATAGTGACTTGACATTAAAGAATGAAGAAGAAAATCTTTACCAACGCGGTCCACCCCCGTTCAAACCGTAATGGTTCAGTCCTATTTGAATGCTGTGGATGGTATCTGTATCAGGCAGTCGCTGTCAGGGGCTGTATTTCCTATATGGAGGTCACTGTATAAGTTTATAATTGGTCGTTTAGTCTCGAAACGGTCTTTTGTTTTGCTAACAGACGTTTGTTGAGTTAGGTTAGCTAGTTTTCCACATTTCTGCTGCCTGTCGAGACATGCTGCGAGTGAGGGCGCCGCTGTGTCAGTCTTGGAGGGGGTATGTAATGTAGTTTCACATGGACGCACACACGACTTCTCTCCTCGGAGCTCCTGTCAGTGCAGAGTGCGGTTGAAATGACGATGCACGGCTTTTTGAGTCAAAAAATGAAGTGAAAACGCTTTCTAGCGATCTCCAGTGCAGTTTCGCAACCGTTCAGACCAGTTCAGACCCACACAGGCGGATAATTAGGCGTTTAAAGAGCTCTGCTCTGCGAAGCTGGAGCTTCTTGTTACAATTTCCCCGTTCCACCTTAAATGGAGCAGCGGTTACATTGTGGCGCTTCAGTACTTGAACGAAACTGCTGCACCGTTTAAGGTGGAACGGGCAAATTGCAACAAGAAGCTGGCGAATAGGAAGCCAGCTTAAGCCTCGTCTCTGCTGAGTTATATAACGCTAATTTAAAGACGCTGACCTTCCACACTTCAGCTAGTTTGCTGGCTTGTTCCAGAAACAGAAACTGTGTTAGCGGTTTGCTGTTTATATGAGACATTTGCCTCTTGGTTCGTTTCACAAGCCGATATGCAGGTAGAGGCTCGCGGAAATGACGAGAAACTGTGTTGCCGCCTTCTTCAAGCAAGCTTTTCCTTTCCATTCATTCAATGTTCTCGTAGTTACAAGTGCTGGCTAATGTCACATTAGAGTCACAGAGCTACGAAACGTGCTTAAGTCTTAAAAATGAGGTTACATGTCTTAGAAATGATGAAGAAAGGTGGAATATTACTGTCAGAGTAAGTTAGTTTAAACCACTGTGAAGTAAAAGTGTAGTTACTCACATTATCAATGAGATAATGACTCTAGTAGAGGTAAAGGTAAGTTAAAACCAACACCCAGCCTGACTAAAACGGACCAGGGCCCAGACTTAAAGGCTCAGTTTCTTATATTTTGACCATTTTCCAGCCTCTCTTTATCCATTAGAATTAAACAGGCTGTTCTTGCTATTGTACCTTTAAGACCGGTATATGTAAATGGTCTCTGTTCTGATTGGCTGCCCTGAGTTATGCATAACTCATGAGTGGGCAGAGTTAAAGTACAGTAGACTGAATAGGTGGGTGGATGTAAATGCATTGCTTTTTCATGACATCACAAAAGCTATGGATTTAAAATGGGTCCTAAGTTTACAGCTAAGTTTCCGTATATGGACCCTGTGGACTGGAGAGGGAATGGTACATTTTGAAACTTTAACAGTCTGAAAACTACATCAAATTCTTTCATTCCACAAAAGTGAGGAAATTTGGTTTTCCATTAAATTGGTCCTTTTAAAGAATTGCAGAGAAAAGTCTTAGACATGCAGAATTTGTAGGCATAGAAACTGTTTGCTACAGACTATTCTTAAAACTAGGGATGCATCAAAACGGGAATTGTCGGCTGATGCAGATATTCAACTTTTACACCTGAATATCCTGCTCTTCCAGAGTAAAATAAAAACATCATTAACTATCATTTTGAATATATCTGTCCCCTGCTGATATATTTTTAAAAAGTAATTATCTGCCGATTAAGATGTGAGATGTTAAGATATTATTATGTGTCCCCACATCAAATGCTAAAGCTCCAGAATAAGAGGTGTGAGCAACACCAAAGCAGTCTGAACAAACAGAAGAGAATGAAATTAAATCCAAATACGAATTAGAAACTAAAACCAAATGACTAAAATGGAACTGAGCAAAAAGTAGATTCCTTTCGGTCTGTTTGAAAGCAGTTCACCAGTGATAAGTAGTGTAAGTCAGGGGTTCTTAAACTGGGGGCGTCCTGGGAAGAACAGTGCAAACTTCAGTTCCTATGCAGACAGATGCTGCATGAGCTAAGAAGTATTAGGAAGGTCTATCATGGAAACATTGTGAACAAGTTTCAAAGTGTACCATGCACTCCTCAGTCCATATATGTAATATTACTATCCTCAGTGGGGGCCTTAGACTAAAGAAGTCTGATGCCTGTTGATGTAAGTAGGTCCTGCCCACATATAGTATATTAAATGGATGCATGATCGGAATTGGCCAAGTTTGGTATCGGCAGATTTTTGCTGTATGTATCGGCCACTGTGCCCTCACAGTGTATTTGAAAGCTGTGGCTGCACCTGCACCATAATATCGTAGCGTAATTATACATGACTCATTGTGCTAAATAGTCAGTAGCCTCTTACTTTTCATCAAGCACTTCATTTTATTGATGTTATTTAAAAAGGTAACTGATTTTGTGTTCAAAAATGTCCTCATTAAAGATCAAATAATGTTATTAATGTTCTGACTTTGGCAGAAAGATATTTCTGGAAATGTGCGTCTGTGTTTCAGATGTCCTTTTAGCCCTCACAGAGCTAAAGGGGGGAAAAAACGCTAATAAAAATTGTCCAATAGCCAATTATTCTGTAAAGAAATTGGAACCGGAGTCTGGTATAAAGATAGTGATTGATAAATTCATGATCATCATTAGAGGTGGGCAATATAATAATATTTTATCGTTATTGTGATAAATTTGATTATGTTATAAACACCATTATTCTTTGAGTATTTTGTGGATTTTGTCAGTGCTTAATAAACTGACCAGCTAGATGTTTCATTATAAAGGGAACATAATTAGTTCTGTTTAATTGGATTCAAATTAAAATATTGTACAGTTTTTTGATGGCAGATTTTGCTAGTGCATTGTGTCAGTGTGTTTAAAATGTTTTGACATGTATTATGTATCATAAAGTTGTCTTAAAGTATTGCGATGTGATATTTTCAGCATATTGCCCACCCTTACTTTTTGACATTTAGTATACTGATTTGGAGTGTCTGTCTGCTGGATAGTAGGAGAGCTGGGTAATCTGTAAACAGAAGTGACCTTGAATTGGACTGGGTGGAATGAAAAATCTTACCGTGGTATTACCGCACCTACCCCCCGCCAACCCCCCCGCTCCGCCCCCAAAAAGAAATTTAGGCTATTGGACTTATGGCCTTTGGTCCATGAAATTGTGCAAAGCTTTTTCCCTACAGGTTGGCCTACGATAAACCTAGAAATGACATGCCTACATTCCACACACTAAGAGAAAGCTCTTTTCATAGTGAAAAGAGTGAAATGAAAAAAAATAAATAAATAAATGTCATAGCCATCGTAATCTTTAAAAACAGTGAAATATCTCTACAGCATGCTTGAGTACTTTTTTTGTTTGCTCATTCTAAATCATCCTTGAAGAAACTTCTGGAAATGTGAGAGGATTCAATAGCAAAATAAACTGCTGATCTGCTCCACAGGTTCAAAACCTTCCCATGTGCAGCTGTGGAGGTTAAGAATGAGCCTGTCTTGGGGTTCAAAGAGGGGAGTCAAGAGAGAGCAGAGCTGGAGAAGGTGACCATTATCTGCACACAAAACACATACAGATCCGATTTGTGTTTACTTATTTAGTCCGTTTGTAAAAACAAGTAAATACATTTGCAATTTATTTTTTGGCAAAAGACTCTGTAATGCATTCTAATAAAAGTTTGCACTGGTTTTCCAGGCCCTCCAAAACCTAAAAGGAAAGACAGAGGAGATTCCATGTGTGATCGGAGACGAACAAGTGTGGACCAAAGATATCAGATACCAGCTGTCTGTGAGTACCCGCCTGCAAAAAGGAATGAAACCATTGCCCAATGCTTATTTCATTATTAAATCACTGAATTAGTTGAATTAGTGTGAAATAACATAGATATTATGTTCTCTGTGTAATGAAAATGACCCACAGTGTCAGAACAGTAGCCCCTAACAGTGCATTATCAGGACAGTGATAACACAACTGTTCTACCTTTCTTATTTACAGCCCTTCAACCATTCGCACAAAGTGGCTAAGTTCTGTTATGCTGATAAGGTAAGGAAACTAATTGAGACCGGTACTGAATGAATGACCTTAAAGTAGGAGTGGACGAAATTACAAACATAAAAATATCACAATACTTTAACACATTTTCATGACACATATAACTATGTTACGATACATATGACAACGTTTTGTTTTTGTGAGACATGATAAGTTGGACCAAAACACATCAGTAGAGTCACATTTGGTGAATTCCACCCCTTTTTAATTTGTGTATAATTATATCGTTATCTTGTAAACAAAGTTGTCCAGAGTGGTGAAGAGTGAAGTGTGAAGTGAAGAAATGCTCCATTCTAGAGACTTTACTCACACGTTCACAGTGGTGGTGATGGGAACCAGACGTCTCAAGAGTTTAATGCCTCTAATAGCTCCCAGAAAGTTATTACATGAAATGGTTATAAATATGTTTTATGATAGTGTGTTCATACCAAAACCTCATCTAAAAACTATGATACATCTAGATAAACAAAAAAACAGCTCTAAACAGTTATGTTGTAGTAAGGTACTCACCACCATTCCCATCCTTTCTTTAAAAAAAAGCGTTTTTATAGTTAATGTGTTGCTTCTCATAACGTGCTACGCTGCCAACTTTATGCACATTTGTTTTTCGACTGCAACCATGACAATGAAGCTCTGATTTTACACAATGTGAAAGACAGCATTAAAATTCATGTGATTATTTCACACATTTTTTTCAACTTTAAAAATTTGACTCGGTGTGAAAAGACCTTTCAAAATGTGTTTCAAAGCTACATACATTTTGCAGTGTTAGATGTACTGTGTTGTGCTACATCCAGTTAAGCAGGACCAGTTGTTCTTTCCTGGACCCCGAGCGTCGTTGTGATTCACACTCGATCTCTTGACGACAGCACAAAAGCTTATTGTGACATAATTTATCATGATAACAATATGGGCATATCACCCACCCCTACCTTACAATATCCGGAATGATGTTATGTGCTTTAATCTCATCACATATATAGTATGCTGTATCCTACGTCCCTTTGGTTTTATAATGCTGTCAGGTGTTGGACAGTTTGCTCTTTCTTCTGTTCACAGGAGCTTCTAAACAAAGCCATTCTAGCCTCTGTAGCAGCGAGAAGAGAATGGGACCTGAAGCCAGTGGCAGATAGAGCCCAGATCCTCTTCAAGGCTGCTGATACAATCAGTGGACCGAAGAGAGCAGAAGTTCTGGCAAAGACGATGATCGGCCAGGTAGTGCTTTACGCTGCACTGTAAAAATCACAGTCGTTAATCTAGCGCCAACCTGAGTAGTTGAAATACTCAAGCATTCATTTGTTACATTGGTATTTGTTTCTCTGTTTAGTATTCGGGGGCTTCATCTCGTTTAAAACCCAGAAAATTTGTAATCTAAACCATAATAAATGTGATCAGCAAAGCCTTTAAATAGAAGGATAAGGGAAATGCTCAGTGCAGAATTTGTTGAGGATTAGCAGACTGCTGTTATGTTAGCAAAACATTTTCTCATGTATTTCTCTTACATCACTTAAAAAACAGTGAAAATAAAACATAAAAATGTAAGAAGAAGAAGAAGAAGAAAGATGTTCCTGAACTTTTGACATGTTGATGTGATTTGCATTGAGTAAAATTGCTGCCTGTGTTTTCATTTGTGACGTTTATTTATGTGCCGTCTCCCTCAGGGTAAAACTGTGGTGCAGGCTGAGATCGATGCTGCAGCAGAGCTCATTGACTTCTTCAGGTTCAATGCCAAGCATGCGATTGAGCTGGAGCAGCAGCAGCCGCTGGACAGCGATGGCAGCACCAACACCATGCTGTACCGTGGGCTGGAGGTGCGCTCCTTTCTGGGGGACCTGCAGTAATGGTCTCTTGGGTGTAGGATGTTGAATTAATGGAATAGAGTGCAACAGGAGTGAACTTACCCAGATGTACAAAATGTAGTGGATTGGCCAAGACAAGTTTTGTGTCTAAAGTTTGCTTCATTAGTTTTGTATTGGTGATGCACAGCTAGTGTAGCTAACAAGTATTGGAAGATTTTTCTAGGCAATTAGCATTGTACAGACTGCACACCTAAATCATCATACCTTGGCTTGAATCGCATTGATTTGTTAAGTAATCTCAAATAGAATAGATGTGGTTTCTGACACTGTAAGACTTGCTGATTTCTTTAGAAAAAGGCTAAATTTAAGCTACAAGATGGGTGCTAGTACTGTACTCTTGCTACAAAATGGACCATTTTATAGAAAAGCAGTATGTCCCACAGTGACCACATTAGTCTTACAAGGCCAGAATGATCTCATCTCATGACAACCATGAGCAATTTTGAGCTAATTATGGATGGGTATGTAGACGTATTTGGGTGGGAACAAACTGAATGTGAAATTTTCTAAACTAATCCAACGCTAACTGAGCTCAAAGTAGGGAGAGATGGTACGCTCGTCAACATTGTCTAGCAGACAACGAGCCAGTTAGCGTGGCTGAAAATTTCCCCCAAAAACTCTCTTTGAGCTTGCAGATGTGTGTAACATGGTGAGAAAACAAGCATTTTGTATGGCAGGAGGAAAAAAGTTAATTTAGCTAATCATTGTTATCAATTGTACTAGAGGAATTTGGAGGTACCAAAGTTTAACAAGTTGTCATAAGATCACATGCGGCCCCATGAGACTAAAAACACAGAAGCAGATCATCTGAGATTATATAACTTGGCACAGTTGGAAGCAAGTATTTAGTTATTAAGAAATGTAGTTGCACTGTGCTAATTGGTTGGCTTTTGGGCTTTAACCTTTGGTTACTTGTTGGCTGTGCTAGCCTTGTAGCTCCAGGGCAGAATTATAGAAGCAGACTTTGGACATCAAGCATGTCTTTGCCCAGTGGCTACTTTTAAGATAAGGGTCAAACTGTAAATCAGACTTTTGTTTTTTCTGTCTATTCCTTTAATGTGGCTTTTATACAAACAGCTACACAGCATTACATGCAAATGAAAGGTTCATTTCTTTAGTCTCAAATCAGTGAAACTGCTCCATTAGACTCACAAATCTGTGCAGTGCTATTTTAGCGTCTATGGCACTCCAGAGTATTCATAACAGATAAGTGAGAGGTGGGGGGTCTTCTGACTGAGGGGGTTTAAGTTACAGCTGAAAAGCCAGCAGCTCCACGTGTGTGAATGGAGGCCTGCTGTAGTAATAGCATGTTAAGCTGCATTCATCTAACTGTATTGTCTGCTTTATCTCCATGTTTATCTTTCTTATTCCGTCGTAGGGCTTTGTAGCTGCTGTCGCGCCTTTCAACTTCACTGCTATTGGTGGAAACCTGGCTGGCACGCCAGCACTAATGGTGAGTTGCTGTGATTATATCTTTATCAGTAATGATTCTTTAGGAGTTTAGTGCATCATGAAAACTAGGATTTGAAGAGATTATATTATTTTGTTACAGCTTAGAATTCTTTTTAAATGTTAACTGTTTTGTAGGAACTATTCACACAGTAGTGGAATATGGAAAAACAGTACACACTGACTTGTTCAACACATGCTGTGCCTTTTTTGTTTGTTTGTTTTTTGTTCATTTTTTTTTAAGTCCTGTATTTCAATAAAACAGGATTTTATGGATTTTAAAATAGCCTGAGATGAATTATCATCTGTTTTAACATTCCAACATCTGTGCATCACCATATTTAGATCAGTGCATTGTGATGAGTCAGTAATGAAGTCAGTAATCACTGTTTAATTGTAAAATAAACGTGTGTGTTACCAGGGCAACGTGGTGCTATGGAAACCCAGTGACACTGCCATGTCTGCTAGCTATGCAGTCTACAAGATCCTGCGTGAGTCTGGCCTACCGCCCAACATCATCCAGTTTGTTCCAGCTGATGGCCCAGTTTTTGGAGACACTATCACCTCCTCTGAGCATTTGGCTGGAATCAACTTCACTGGCAGTGTCCCGTATGACCCCTTTGTTTTTCTGTTGACATAGTGGTTTAGCCCTTAGATTTCAACAACCATTAACTTCTATTTAAGATTTAACTTCAGCTGACACTGAGATTTTGTCCGTTCTGTGTATCTGGGGACAGTGTTGGAGACAGGAAAGTGTGATGCTGGAGCTGTAATTTATTATGGCTTTGTGTATCTTATCCACAGAACATTTAAGCGTCTGTGGAAACAGGTGGCACAGAATCTTGATATCTACAGAAACTTCCCTCGTGTGGCAGGAGGTCAGTGATTTCACTTCATCTGCACACTCCCACCTACAGTGCTATCGGTGTATTTGCCCCTCACCAGATTTCTTCTATTTTTGCTAATTTGTCACATAGAAATGTTTCAGATAATCCAACTAATTTTAATGTACGATAAAGACAACACAAGTAAACATAAAATGCACCTTTTAAATGATTATATATTTTTGAAGATAAAGATTCATTCGAAACCTAAATCACTTGTGTGAAAAAGTAATTGCCCCCTAAACCTAATAACTGGTTGTGGCACCCTTGGCAGTAACAACTGCAATCAAACATTTGCGATAACTTGCGATGGGTCTTTTAAATTGCTGTGGAGGAATTTTGACTGACTCTTCTTTGCAGAATTGTTTTAATTCGGCTACGTTGGAAGGTTTCGAGCGTTTTAAGGTCTTGCCACAGCATCACAATGAAATTCAAGTCAGGACTTTGACTCGGCCACTCCAAAACTGTCATTTTGTTTCTTTTGAGCCATTCATAGGTGGATTTGTTTGTGTGCTTTGGATCATTGTCCTGCTGCATAACCCAACTGCGCTCAAGCTTTAGATCACAAATTGATGAGCAGACATTCTTCTTCAGGATTTTCTGATAGACAGCGGAACTCATGGTTCCATCAGTTATGACAAGTCATCCAGGTCATGCAGAAGCAAAATAACCCCAGACCATCACACTACCACCACCATGTTTGACTGTTGGTATGATGTTCTTATGGTGGAAAGCGGAGTTAGCTTTACGCCAGTTGTAACGGGACCCATGTCTTCCAAAAAGTTCCACCTTTCACTAATCAGTCCATGGAATATGATCCCAAAAGTCTTTGGGGGTCACCTAGATATTTTTGGGAAAATGCTGGACAAGCCTTTGTGTTCTTATTAGTCAGGAGTGGTTTGCGCCTTCAAGCCCTCCCATAGTTGTCATTTTGCTCAGTGTCTTTCTTACTGTGGAATCATGCAAATTGACCTTAACTATTGCAGTTTTGTCCTGCAGTTCTTTAGATGTTCATCTGGGTTCTTTTGCAACCTCCTGGATGAGTCGTTAGTGCGCTCTTGGTGAAATTCTGGTAGGCCAACCACTCCTGGGAAGGTTCACCACTGTTCCAAGTTTTCTCCATTTCTGGATAATGGCTCTTGCTGTGGTTCACTGGAGTCCCGGAGGCTTAACAATGGCTTTGTAACCCTTTCCAGACTAGTAGATGTAACGACTTTGTTTTGCATTTGTATTTGAATCTCTTTTGAACATGGCATTATGTGCTGCTTTTTGAGACCGTTTAGCCCGCTTCACATTGCCAGACAGGTTCTGTATAAGTGACATTTAGATTCAGCAGTTCTGGAAGTTATCATGCCTGGGTGTGGCTGATGAAATTGAGCCCAACGGTCAATTGAACTTGATTAACTGGTTGATTTAATAGCTAAGGGGGCAATTACTTTTTCACATAAGGCCAGGTAGGGCTGAACAACGTTTTTCTTTCAATAAATGAAATCATCATTTAAAAACAGCATTTTTTGTTGACTTGGGTTTTCTTTCTCTCATATTAAAAGTAGTTTGATGATCTGAAACATTCAAGTGTGATGAATAAGCAAAAACAGAAGAAATTAGGAAGGGGCAAATGCTTTTTCACAGCACTGCATACACAGTCTAAATTTCTGCTCATCATAAATGAGTTCTTTTATACTGTGTTTTTGACCCCAAATGTACATTTTTGAACCCTTTAAACCCTACTTTATTACACAACACTATAACTTAAGAATATCTCAGCCTGTTTGCGTTATTTTTCTTGTAATTGCTGAATAATAAGTAGGGAGGCAACAATCCTGAATTTTTATGGCTGATTCCAAATCTGAAGTTACAACATAAATAACATAATATGCTCTTTATTGGGCCAAATCATCATTTTAAATCATTAAACAGAAAGATTTGTTACCTTTTTAATATACATTATCAAATAAAGTTATGCATCAAAAGTAGGAAGCAACTGGCTATTAGCACAAAGAGTCATTATGAATATGCTATAAGTAATTTTATATGCATATAATAGCATGCATATAATTATGCTGTGACATTTTAGGGCAACATTCAGTACAGTATGAGTTCACTTACCGGCTTCACAGTATTTACATCTTAAAATTACAACACAGATTGCACAAAGTGAAAGTAATTAATTGGACAGTTGCCAATCCTGCATACCTAATAAAAAACCTTACATTAAGCCTGGGAATTTTAGGGGTTAAACTGCAGACCATGGCAGTTTAAAAGGTTAACCTGCTTTGTTTTTATTGTGTACCTTTTCAGAATGTGGTGGCAAGAACTTCCATTTTGTGCACAAGTCTGCAGACGTTCACAGTGTGGTGACGGGCACGATCCGCTCAGCGTTTGAGTACGGTGGGCAGAAGTGCTCGGCCTGCTCCAGGATGTACGTCCCGGACTCACTCTGGCCTCAGATCAAACAGGACCTGCTGGCTATACACAAACAGATTAAACTGGGAGACGTGAGTGAAGCTACTTTACTTTTGTTTCTTGTTTTCTGCTGCCTTCTAATACAGCAGATCAGGGCCAGATGTTCTGTGGTAATTTAGTACAAGCAAGTGCAACATTTTTGTTTCATCTTACAGCCGGTTGAGGATTTTGGGACGTTCTTCTCAGCGGTTATTGATGACAAGGTGAGAAAAGACGACTGCTAATGCTTTAATATTTGATCTGATTACTGGTCCCTTTCATAAAAGTTGGGCTAATTTTGTTGTTTCTTCTGTTCTCCAAGTCTTTTGCCAGGATAAAGGGCTGGCTTCACCACGCCAAGACTTCCCCCAATCTGACTGTAATCGCTGGTGGAAATTGTGATGATAAAAAGGGATACTATGTGGAGCCCACGATTATTGAAACCAAAGATCCACAGGATAAAATAATGAACGAGGTAAAGTTATTTTGTGGTTATTATTCTGTACTGAACTATACTATAACTGTACTGTTTGTTTTATTTTAACTTCTTTAACTGCAAATGGGCCCTTTACTTCAACATATTAGTTTTATGGTAGTTGATGAATAATAACTCTTAAGATTGACAACTAAATAATAAGTCTAGAGTTCAGAGGCTTAAAGAATTATTAAGTCTTAAAAATTTTCAGTGAGTGCACCCACAAACATTAACAGACGAGCGCGCGGGTGGACTTTGGTTTGTTAGTACAAGCCAATCTCACCCATTGAACTGCATTTTACACTTGGCTTCACAACTCCATGATCTCTGCTCATCCTCCTTTCCCTCTGTCAGCTGTACAGGACAGACTTTAGTCAGAGATTAAGGTGAACCTGTGTCCACATAATTTAATTATTGTGATGTAAACTAATTCATTCAGAGTGGTTTGATGTGAATTGATGCATTGTATAGAAACTTTAATTTCTTTACAGTGGTGGTGATGGGAACCGGGGTTTGTGATATCTTCAACCAAAATATATATACACGTCTTATTTACTGTCCAAATCAGTCAGTGAACCTAAGCTTGCGTTGATATTGATAATGGTAGAATAGTGATAAAATGTGAGATAAAATATGTTCTTTTTGGGTGCTATTTTTTTCTTACTACACCCTTCATGTGCCTCTTACATGTGGCATGTACTTCTATTCACTATTGTAAATAATTTTACAGACTTTGTAAATCTCTTTGGAACAGCAGATTTCCCATCAAACCACTCTGAATGATTTTGTGCACATATCAAAGATTAGATTTTGTGGAAATTAACCTTCAAGCACCCGAAGAAGCATTTACTTGTGTTTTCTTTGGATTAATTCAAGCCGATAATTATTGCTTTACCTCAAGAGTGTGATGCCAAACATTTCAAATCCAGAATATTATTAGAAAAATACCCACCAAAACGTGACCATTTTGATGGTGGACTGTGAACTCCCCAGTTAGTGACCGCACCGATAACACATTGCGACCTTGGGTTTGTGAAAGGCGCTATATAAATGTAACTTATTATTAATATTATTATTATTACTATTATTATTATTATTATTATTATTGCATTCACTAAGACAGCTAGTGAGGTAGGTGGTTAGGATAAGAGAAGTCATGTTGACTAACTCATTTTTTACTTCTGAACAGCTAAAGCTATTACATTTTTGGTGCAATGATGATGTGCAAATCGAGTAGACAGTCCCGTCTCTGTTGTTTGTGCAGAGATATCTTATCCCATGTGAATCAGTCAAACATCAACAAAATAAATCTACATTTTAGACATTCTGTGGTAACTTCTCCCATTAATTTTGCGTTGATACTGCTGACGTGTTTCTGAATATTTTCTCAGTGTTCTGTTTTTTATTTTATTTTTTTTTAAGTTGGTAATCATTGTACATTCATTGTTTTGGTATGAACCATATTGTGGACATTGCAAGTTAAAACCAATCCAGGTAAGTGGGCATGTTCTGTCTTACACAGATATGTGTCCCTTTTTCAGGAGATCTTTGGACCCGTTCTGACAGTTTATGTATATCCTGAGAACGACTACAAGAAAGTACTGGAGCTGATTGACAGCACATCTCCATATGCTCTGACTGGGGCTGTCTTTGCTCAAGATAAGTGAGTAAACAAATTCCACGTTTAAAAACCTCACATTAACCTTTACTGCCAGTGTTACCTTTGCTAATATGCATGTTTGTGGGAATCATTGTATGAGTTGCCAACCACTAGAATGACTTGTTTCAGGGCCGTCGTGGCTGAGGCGGCAAAAGTGTTGAGAAATGCAGCAGGAAATTATTATGTCAATGACAAATCGACAGGCTCCATTGTGGCCCAGCAGCCGTTTGGAGGTGCCAGAGCATCAGGTGAGTATTTCTAACCATGTCCTCAACACATTTGATGTTTTCTTAGCAACATTTTGACCCAAATGTAGTCGATCAGCTAGTAGTTTTGTTTGTTTAACAGTGTAGCTGAAAGGGTAATGCAGCTATCATGTAATGGAAGCCTATGGCCTCCAATTAGCATCATGCAAACTGCATGCTCAAACCATCACAGACTTACCCCAAACTGCATAGAGTCGCTGAGTAATATGAAAAGCCTTGCTTAAGTGGTTTCCAACTTGCACGATGCTGACTGGTGGATTTAAGTTTACATTTGTTTGCTGCCTGCACCATCGCTTTGTGTCAGTATTTTGATATCTGTTCAGGTACCAATGACAAGCCTGGAGGACCACACTACGTCCTCAGATGGACATCACCACAGGTCGTCAAGGAGACCCATGTCCCACTCACAGATTGGAAATATCCCTACATGGGTTGAGAAAACTCTGTTACGTCCACAGCACAGCCCTGAATCCTATTCTGTGTACTAATAATGACTCTCCCTCTCCTGATCCCTCAGTCAAGACTGAAACCCAGAATCGTTTTTGTTCCTACTTGATTTAACATTTATCTTAAGTGGTCTTCTAAAGAAAGCTATCAAGACTTCTCCTGGAATGTTCACAAAACCATGGCTGGTGAAACAGTGCCCCCTTGTGGCGATGCCTGAGGCTGAATAGGCAAACATGTAAAGCGACTGTGCCTCGGAAAACTACTGACAGCAACTACATGACTACAGCTCTTTAATATGTGAATGTGTTAGCAGACCTTCATTACCTCCAGTGGTTGATCAGCCTACACAAAAGACATTAGACCATCCAGGAGGTAGAAGGACTAAAACAGAGGTGATTAAATCAAGAGGAAGATTGAGGATTGGATTTGCACTGAACATTTCTGACATTTCGTCCTTTATTGGATCACGTGAAGCATTCTTTCAAATTTGCTTTCTGTCTGGAGGTGTTTTCTGCCTACCTGACTACATCAATACTTCAGATAACAGTATCTATCAGTGTATTTGTTACAGTGATACTCATATAGTGGCAGTTACTACATTATGAAATGATCTATATTTTTGCCTCAGGTCTGTATTACCTACTGCACTCAACGATAGATAAATAAATATTAACTAAATATATCAATAAATAAATCAATAATTCATTAATAAATAGTACAGAACGTACGATTATGGCATGCATATAATGTCAGATGTCTAAAACAGTAAACAGTAGCCCTTGTTTTTGATATTTTTAATGTTTAACTTGTTTACTTCATCTTGTTTGGTTTGGTTGACCCGGTTAATTCACTGTCGTGTGGACATTTGTCAGACTGTGTTTTTTAAACTTTGCTGCTGCATAGACTGGCAATAATAGTCTCAAGTATATGACAAGTAACTTGAAATTACATTGTTTTCATGATTTTCTGAATGAACTTTCATCTCCTGAAACATACATCTCAATGCAGTATCAATCATAAGGTTGTAAGTGCAAAAAACCTTAGAAACAGTGCAATTTGGAGTTCTGTTGTGCCTGAATAAAGAGATGGGGTTAAACGGTAGTTTGTCTCTGACATTAATCACACACACTGAAGAAAGCTGCTCATCGGATCTACCTAAAAAATTACTTCTTGTAGTAACAAGTAGTTTATTCAACTTAAAAAAAACTACACTGATTGAAAGAATTGTTCATTCAAAGTATTTATTTAGGTTGAATAAAACTACTTGTTACCACGTGAAGTAGTTTTTGTAGGTAGATCTGACGAGCCACATTTTACAGTGCATGACAAAACAATTGGTGCATTTCTGGCACTTCAGGTACCACTTTACATGTCAGATGCTGCCACCTGGTGGACTCACTAGTGCATAACAGGTTTAATATCTAAACAGCTGGCTCTACTATATGGACTGTAGGGTTACAGATAAAATAAGGGACATATAAAATAAAAATATAATGAAGAATAAGACAGTAGATCGCTGCACTATCTTGACTGTGGAGACTGGGTTCTTCTCCCACTTCAGGTTCATAGATATGGTGATAACTAGGAACATGAGTGACTCCACAGTCTTTTGGGGGTTGCTTTACTGCCTCAGGGCCTCAAAGGCTTCCAGTCTTTGAGGGAGCAATGATATCCAAGCTACATCAAGAAATTCTACGGTAGAATGCCAGGGGAGTTTGGGTCAAGCAACATGAGAATAATATAAAACAAGAGCATTTCAACAACAGACCAGCTAAAGAAATGAAGAAATTCAATATTTTAGACAGGCAAAGTCATTTAAATGCTGCAGTATCATGATTTTTTACACAGTACTGATCAGCAGCTACAGCAAGCATTAGGCTGAGGTGATTTCCAATAAAGACAAGTAATGATTTATATTCAGTACCTAATATATATTATCTAGTTACTACTATGACACTAATGTGTAAGCTATATAGTTATGAGAGTGTGAAACTTACGTGTACAGTTAAAGTGGTATTAAAATATATCAATAGAAAAGCATTGATAATTAAATAGGATACTATGGAGCAGACACACGTGAGCCTAAGGTCATCCCCAGCATTAGGCTGTGGCGCAGTGACTACTGTGTTCTCCGGAGGGATGGAGCTCCACCCAGTACCTTTGGGATGAGTTTGAGTGATCCAGAGTTTATCATCCAACATCAGTACTTGACCTCACTAATGCTCTTGGGGTTGAATGCAATCAAATCCTTACAGCTTCAACATCTAGTGTAAAGTCTTCACAGAAGACACTGTTACTGCAGCAAAGCAGGACAAACTCCCTATTAATACACTTGATTTCAGAAGAAACGTTGGACGAGCAGGTGTCCACAAACTTTTGGACATAATATAGTGCAGCTGCTTTCCTACAGGAGACAGCTGGTCTATTAGGATAAGGGCACACTTTCCCAGCATTCACTACTCAAAGCATGCTGTTTTATTATGCTGTTGTATATTAGCCCCTCATAACAATGCATCATGTGATGGGCCTACTTAGATAGATTGAGGCCTATTTAGTCTCATGTACAACTCATTAGAGAGCTCTTCAGATTAATTTGTTAATTAGTTTCTGTTCCTAAAGTGCTGCTTTATTAAATATTCACAGGGTGAAGCACAAAAAGACTGGCAGCGTCAATTTTTAAGCGCCTAAAATGTGGAACTCTTTACCAGCTAATCTTCCTCCAGCTTCATCTGTTACTTGCTTTAAAAAAACAGCTAAAAATCACTCATTAGTTTATCTCTAATTTCTTTATATTTCAAAGTTTAATAGCTCATATTTATATTTATTTGTTTGTTTGTTTAATATTACCAATATTATCACTCTTTTCAATTGTTTTTATTTGCTATTTACTGTTTTACATACATGATTTTGCTGTTTTGTTTCATTGTAAAACACTTCGAACTGCATTTTTATGTATGAAAAATTGTTATTATTATTATTAGTTGTAGTATTAGTATTAGTATTGACAGGCTAGTAACAGTTAGACAGCATTTCTAATTAACAGGTGACAGTTTAGATTAGACAGATGGTGATCCACCACCTGCTGGTCATTGCTGTCCACCCTGCTCACGTCACAATTCACTGCTAGAGTCAGATCAGAAGTGGCAGCACACTTTCTCAGCACTTTAGTGCCGTTGTTTGTAGGCACACTTCCTCTCACTCTGTAAGAGTGAGCGTTTATGGTCTGAAATAGCCCTGGGAGCAAACTTAAACCCCGTCTCCTTTGCCACGGCCATTCTAACAGCTTACGGCCCATCATTAACTTACGCTTTAGCAGAGACGACACATTCCCACCGCACAGCACTGTTTTCTGTCATTGTTTTTGCTCCTTGAATTATTCAAGCAGTCGTACGCAAAAGTTTGGATATTTTCTAAGTGAAGATGAGTGAGCACATCCTCTGCTGAGAACACAATTGTGATAGTTTTCTGCAAATTTTAGTGCACAATTACTTTTGTCAGAGTTTAACATATTGGAAAAAAATAAAGCTGAATATAAAACGTGCCATAACATTTGCACAGGCCAATTTTTAAAAATGTTTTCAGTAAATTTCAGTAAATGTGCATGGTAGGACTGTTTTTATTACGCAGCCTGGCTTATTTCAGTTGTGACGTCACACCATCACACTGCCAGTACAAAGCAGACGGTCATATAAGCTCTCAGCCACCTTTGAGTGTCTCGAAATGACTCAGATCAAAGTAGCCACAGCGCAGGCCAGTAACACACCTCATGCTTTTGAGATGCTCTTTAACACACTGTAAATCCAGACAGCATTGCTCTGTGTGCTGGCCTGGGAAAGCACACTGTCGGAGAGTCCCTCGCACGCGTTTAGGGTTCAAAGCCTGGGACTGGATCAGCTGTTCAGTGCGTCACTGTGGGAACACAGACCTCTCAATAGGGCCTTAGTGCAAGACAGGCCATAACTGAAAACAATCCAAGCGTGAATAATTCACTCTCATAATAAAGAGCAACTGAGGAATGTGAGAAATGTGAGGTCATGGATTTGAGCGTTGTTTTTGAAACGGAATGTGTTATGGAAATTGTTCAGAATGGAAAGACTTAAAGGGAATTTCCATTGATTTTTCAAAATCTCTGCATAATTAATGTTTAAAATGCAAACAGTCATTCAAAGCGGTTTGGTGTGAAATGCTCCGTTAGTCAGAACTGTTTACAGTGGTGGTGATAGGAACCAGACGTCTGAAGAGTTCAATGCCTCTGAAAGCTCCCGAACAGAAAGTGGCTACATTATATGACTGTGAATGTGCTGAATGATGCCAGACATTGTTTTACGAATGTTTTGTTGCAAAGATTTGGCCTAAAATGTGTTTTTAAAAGCCATTCATGGGGGGCTGGTCCATGTATGGCATTGTGGGGTAAAATTGGCCCCAGAGAGAAAACCACTTTATACCGTTATCAACACCACATATGTTGGTTCACTGGAGGTTTTAGATAGTTAATAAAATGGCAGTTTTTGCATCATTAAATTGATCATGCTGAGATGGTCATTTTATGAAATATCTTGGATGACCAAGAGTCGTCACATCCCTCATATTCATATAGTTATGCCAATGTGATGGATAATAAAAAAAAGTCATCAGTAAAAATTAAGTGTACATTTCTTTTATTTGTCTAACAAGACATACTTCAACCATCCTATCAACATGATAGATCAAATTCCTCTAAAGGTTACAAAGAAGTTTCATAGAAATATAAAATAAAGAGGCGACACGCCTCATTTTCACAATATGTAAAGAAAATCTTCACACAGGTGAAGTGCAGTAATCATGTGCGTGTTGGAGTTCAGATATGGGGTAGTCCAGTCTTTGTGGAAAACAGCTGCTGTCTACATTTATACATTACATAAAGGAACATAAATGCTCTACTGCACAAGAGAACACCACCATGGCTAAAGAGCCAGTACATTCTCTCTTTTTAAATAAGAACAGTCTTTAAAAAGAGGACTCTCCAAAAGGTGAGGAGCATCACCAGGGTCTCCAAAGCGGTGTGCTGGTGGTCCCTGTGCATTTGGGTACACTGGAGATGGACTTCTGACCGCCAGAGACACTCTTCACTCTTGCTTTGGGCTTCTGTGCTCGATCAAAATGCTTCTTTACAGCCGGTTTGTCTGTTGTGAGCTGGTTTTGAGCCGAGAGGAAACGGGCAGTCTCCTCCAAACACCGGGCGAACCCGTCGGCGTAGCTCTGTTCAGCGGTCTTGCTTCTCAGGTAGGTCACGGCCATCTCCAGGACATCAGCCTTTTCGAGCTTGGAGCTTGGCTGCCTGGCCTTCAGCTCGTCTTTCAGAAGCGTCTTGAGCTGCTCGATGCTGTTGTTGATGCGGTCCCTGCGCATTTTCTCCACCGCTGGTTTCCTTAACTGAAGAAAAGACAGCAAAAGATGACACTTAAGTCAGAAACGCCAACAACAGCGACGAAACTGAAAGCTAACGATACTTAAAACGGACAAAACGCGGCTGAAATTAGCTTCTTGTCCGAATTTTCCCGTTCCACCTTAAATGGTACAGCAGATTAATTCGAACAAGAAACTGACTTCAGCCTCGTAGAGTCAGAAACGTTTTCAACAACCGAAATACTCACTTTGATTTTCTCATTCCTCTGCTGAAACTCGCTGGATGCCATTTCTGCGACCGTTGACGTTTCTCGTCTGCTTGTTGTTGTTGTTGTGCCTCACGCGCTCAACGTCTCCCTTTTAAACACCCCGTTTTCGCGGGACCGCTGCTTCGCGCGTGACTTTCTCACACCCGGCAGCCAATCAGGGACGCCGCGGTGACAATACAGCGCTTCGATTGGGGCAGCGCTTTGTCGCTGGCTTCGTTCCAATTTGTATTCTTGCGTCCTAACTAGGATGCTTAGCTAGTGCGCCGCGGCCCCTATTCTACGCCCTAGCCAAGCGTTCTAGTTAGAACACAAGGGCACATATTGGAGCGCGACCACTGTTTTGGACAAATGAAGACAAATCCGTGAAATAGTTGACTGCATTATGACCCCCGACATCATTTCAAGACTTTTTGTCTTCCGAAAACGGCGGGACAGTGGATCTATAGTGTGTTTCGCTATAATTAACTAAACGAAACGAAACTTAAAGATGTTTATTTAGCCTAATTATTATATAATAGTTTAGGTGAACACTGGGAATATCTAGTCTACACAGTAAGACTGATTTATGGTGTCAACTCGGATCTCAAATAGATATCGTGATAATTAGTACGGCACTGTTGTATTGCGCTTGCAGTACAATGTATTATATCAGACTGTACATGATGCTGTATGTCACACTGTGAGTCCTTCTTGTAATCCGTACAGTAGCAGATGTGTGAGAGATTTAGGGGCAGGGAAGTACAGCCCTTTGGGTGAATCATGCTGTTAATCATTATTGAATGGACCCTGAGGGGAAGTGGACTGCACTAATGTGGTAATGAGAGCGGCACGCTTCTATTGGCCTTCTATTGAAGTGCTGCGGTGGGAAAGTTGGGGAAACACAGACTCCAGGCTTTGTGTTTTTGTGTTTGAAGATGATGAACCACAGCTCAAAAGCACAGCTGGCTCCTGTGCGCGGGAAAACTGCTGTCAGCAAATCAGTAAAAAAGGACAAAGGGTGGGAGATGGGGTCTGCTTTTTATTTGCAATTAAAAACTAAAAATATAGAAATGTAATAAGAATATACACTCAAAAAATGAACCAACGGGGCTGTTTGACTAATTGAAAACATGTTGACTATAAACAAATGAACTGTGTTGTGTTTAGATCATGTAAAATGGACAAAATCAATGATAGTACATTTCAGTTAATGAAAACTGTTTGTGTTGATTCAAATAGAAACCCAAATAAATTGTACTGAAAATGTTTGTTTATTCCATCAACAGTTGAACTTTATGTTGATGTGACAAAGACACACTGACTCTACTCAATGTGATTGAATGGAAATGTGTGGTGTTATTGAATTAAGTTCATACAACAATCTTTGAGTATTTAAGTATATATAAGAAATTAAGAAAATGTAATTTTAAGATGAAGTCAGCATTAACAAAGCTAATGAACCCATACTTGCTGAATGTCACTACTCAATAAAAAAAATACAAACCTGTTACTTGTTTTGATCAAATTGTTCTGTTTTCTTCTCTTAAAATGACACCAAAAGGAACTATACACAGTTTTGTAAATGCTAAACACACAGAATGTGCATGAACGTATGTAAATTTTCTTGAAGCACCAAGTAAAGTCCACAAATATAGATTAAAAAATCTATTAAAATGGCATTATATTGTCTTATGGGCATTATATTTCAGATGTAATGCTGGTTATCTATCAAATATGTTGGCAGTATAAGCATATATGTAAAATCTAAACTGAGCAATATCACACTGTGTCAGTGTTGTGGTATATGAGAATAGACAATATATCTTACAGCGTTATAGGATATCCTATCAGGCTGTTATTTTTAAAAGGTTTTTCTCTTATTTATATAGACTGTTGAAGATAAATATAACCTATTTATCTTCATCTTTAGACTTATGAACAGCCTATTAGACCCCTAGCAAAATAGCTTCAGATTTAATGCATTTTCTCTAAAAGCAGCCAATTGAAACAATGATTTCTGGTTCCATTTAAAAAGAATGCATCACCAGTCATCATTCAAACTGTGAAGGCAACAACTGACGAACCTGATATTTAGAATTTATTAACTAGAGCAAAAAATCACTTCAGCAAAAAAAATAACTCCATATCTTTTTTGTTGCATCATTTAATGAAACTACACAGCATGTGTGTATGTGTGTGTGTGTGTGTGTGAGCGGGTAGGTTTGGAGGGGTTTAACCCCAAATCCTTTCCCACACTTACTTCCAGCTCCCGCCAAAAGTAACTTGTAAAGGCACAATACACTGCTGCCTCACTGCAAAACAGACTTTTACTGGCCTCACGCTCTCTCACCCACACAGAGAGAGGGAGAGAGAGAGGGGCAGATGCTGGGCGTCATGCTCAGTGTGAACTGGCCCTGCACACTCCATCAGCGGTGGACCTGGGAAACCCCTGACCTCCTGCCGCTGGAGGGGAATCTGAGGGGACACTCAATGGCATTCCTGGACCACATGACCTGGCATTCAGGCGAGCCATGAAAAGCCACTTAGAGCACGAAACTGTGGCATTGTTGCATACCTCCTGCCCCATTAGTAACCCGCCCCCTGTGTGTCGGCACTTGCCGGCACATTGGTGGCCACTGACAGAAAGTGGAGGGAAAAAGGCCCGAAGACCTGAAAGAAAAGCCTAGAAAAAAGAATCTGTTGAAATAAATGTGTTGATGAATCTACATTATGCGAACTCTACCTACAAGGTACATCATCTTAGGGCTTCACATTACAACAGATTAAAGTTCTAAAGCTGTTTTTACAACTTGATGTGACACTGAAAAGGTGTGTTACAGGTTCTACAAAAAGAGAGAAACGTCTGAATGAAAGAATATATTGAGGAGTGTCTGTTACACTGACTATCCACAAGCTACGCATGATGGGTTTTCACATTTTAAAAGATTGGTATGTGTTGTGTATATTTTATAAAATATATCGCTGCTGTCAGAACAAAACCTCATATCTCCAAAATGGTAACTTTACAGGAGAAGGAAAAAAAAACGCTTTACTTTTAATGTAACTCAATGGAACCAGACTTTTTTCCAAGTCATTTTGGGCTGTTTCTTTTGGTCCATTCATAATGAAATTTACACACAATGTAAAGGCCAACAGGTATGTTTAAATTAAGTCAAAAACTGATTTTTATATGTAATGTTGATGATGGCAAAAAAGTCCTCTTTGGGGACTATTTTGTCTCACTGTGCCCTGCACAAATCCCTCCGCCATGAATCGGTTAAAATAACTGGATTAAAATACATTTTAAACTAAAATTAATCATAAAACTATCATAAAACAATGTATCAGACATGAGGCAGCATACATCTGAACATTTCATGTAATAACTTTATGTGAGGGAGCTTTTAGAGGTGGACATCTGGTTTTTCTACAACAGAGCATTTTACACCAGACTGCTCGAATGACTTTGTTTACATCTCAACCATTTAATTATGTAGAATTTTTTGAAGGGTGACTTACAGATTTACAGAGAAATCTACGTAGAACCAGGTACATAATGATAACTCTATCAATAAGATACTTTACATTACATCAATTTGCTATTCTGTATGAAAGTGAAATATATTCTTAGCTTATATGATGTATATATATATTCCAAACTATACATATTTTCAATATATTACTTCTTGTACAGTCTTTTTGCTCAACATGTGTGGTTTATATAGATAAAGAAAACAAAAAAATCTGTTAGAAGGGTATGTTGAACGACATCACATCATGGTTCTCACATCATGGCTTTTAGAGTGAAATATACTGTTATTACCTGTGAAAATGGAATATTGTCATATGTTATCAGCACATTCTCAAATACACTGTAAAATATTTTGTATTATATTAATGTAATTTTAATATATGACTTGTGAGAGGTTCTACAGCTGTTTCAACAAGTGAAACAGACTTGTGATGTTACAGAAGCAGCATATTTAAATGTATATAAATAAACAGAAATATTAAAAAAAAATCAAAAAAATATGTTGAACCTACATCACATTATGGACTTAATATACCTTAAATAGATTGCTATTCTCTCTATTATTATGAAAATTAACTGTATTGTTATATATTGTCAGTATATGTCTAAACATAAGTAGAACTTATTGTAATACATTTTCAATGTGTTACTGTTTTGTATGGAGTTGTAAACAGCAGGTGAATTAAAGGTCTGCAGCTCATTTAGTTACCTGTACGGTCATTTACATAGGCAGGTGCAGTAAGGCTGGCTGGTATACATGCCTCCAGGTGTTTGTGTGTGTGGTCATGCGTTCCTGCACCTGGATGGTGGGATCTGTCAACAGGAGTCTACCTGTAGCCCCCCCTAAGGTGTGTGGGAGAGAGCGAGGCTTTTTTTTGTGTTCAACTAGAGGTCCAGATGGTCTATTGAGGCCGAGGCATAATGAGGCCCCGCTGGATCAGTGGCAGCAGGGTGGGGCCGGCCGTTGAATGGGGCCGAAGTGTGGGAAACACACTCAGGACGAAACTCTCACACATTCCTCGCTGGAGAGGGCCGCTTTGGCCATGCTTAGATACTCGGGCAGCTGGGCACACAGCCATGGAGACACTATATATCTGTGCATGCCTGGTGTATTATGAGGCCTTGGCTTTTCTTTTCTTTTCTGAATGGAGAGAAGGTCTGCAGTGGAATGCGCTCATTCTTTTACCAGCGTCGTCTGTCATTTATGACTCACTGCTTAGAAATGTCTTGCTTGAGAAGAGCGAAAGAAAGTGGCCAAGTTTTCCCTCCAAAACGACACAGAACATATGGAACATATGGTGTTTATGGGCTTCGGCATTCTAACAATACGCTAAATATGCTATACTTAGCCTCCTGACCAGTGGTCAGTGTTGTTTAGCACAAATGTTGTGCATTTAGATGTCTTATTTGACAATAAGGGAAAAAAAACAAAAAACAAACAAAAATACATATTATATATATTATGCATATATTATGTATATAGAAAGCAAATATATGTCGATACACTGTGCTTAATAGATCATCATGAAAACAGTTATGCTTTAACATATGGAGAACCTTTGGGAACTGTGAGAACCTGCAACTTTGACATCAAAAAGAAGTTCATGTTCACCTCGTCAGCGCTGCAGATGTTGGAGCACATGTCTACTTAGTGGAATAAGTGGAGGGGGGTTGATGGGGGTTAGTAGATTTGGCGGCAGGGAGCAGGTGATGTGGGAGAAGTCCGGTGAGAACGTGCACGCGTCCCACGGCCCAGCGGTGCCTCTGATCTGAGCAGAGGGTTCAAAGGGTGTTTGTAGAGGGAACAGAGGAGGGGCTCTGCTCTATTGACTTGAGGACGTGTGAGCAGGATCCTGCCTGGCTTTCCCACACTGTCTGTCCATTTATAACCCAAAATTCCCTGGCGGAGGGAGGCTGCCCAGAACAATAGAAGTGTGCCGTCCTCGAGGGCACGGGATAATTGTGCTTAATTGACATTCACAGTGAACGCATTCCTCTTAGTGTGTGACGGTATGAGAAACTAGCAGCGGAAGAGTAGTTTTTGTTGTCATTTTATGCATTTTTGCTTTTTTATATTTGAAACTGCCAGTTCTTTATATTGTGTTAACATTTTGGGATAAATTCACCAAGTCTGAAATTACTTGGGAAATCTGTCTACATTGACATACATTTATGATTTTGGAGACAAGGCCTTATCACTACAGCAGGTTTTAAATATATTTAAATTTGTTGGCTATCCTCGTGCATAATAAAATAAAAAGGTGTCGCTTATCGTTTAAAGCTGATAATTATCACTCGCCTAACTAAGACAGCTGTGAAATTTGAAAATGTGTTTGTACCAGATAAGGGGCGTACAGTTTTATCTTTATGTCTGTGGCCTTTAGGGAAATTATCAAACCCTCATGGTCCCCATCTGCAGACGGTTTATCAGCCAGAGGCAAGGTTCCCAGGTAATAAAAGTCTAACAACCTGCCCTGTGTTCAGCCAGTGCCATTGATAGCTGGAAGACCATTCCCTCTGCTGGGGCCATGAGGCCAGTTAACCATGAAATAATTGATGCTTCTTCTATTGTGGAGGACGCCTCACCCCCCTGGCCCCAGAGTGTGGGAAACCTAATCCTGCCTGGGACTCATGCCTTTTGTAATGCTAATGAGCTCCTATAAATACTGGAGAGGGATCCTCACTCTAGACCACATCTGACTGACTCTCCTCAGTGAAGCACAGCCTCTCTCTCCTGAAAGAATGGCTCCTACTTACCTTCCTGCTTCTGACTACTCCAAGCTTTCCAACAAGGAAAAACATAAAGTAAGTATCTCTTCTGCTTCATATTCCACTTTTTTAATCACTGCTTTGCTTCTTTCGAATTGCATGATCAACCTGAAGGCATTTCTAACAGACTTTCTCTTTTCTTCATCAGCTAAGGAAACCAGTTGTGGAGAAAATGCGTCGGGATCGCATCAACAACTGCATTGAGCAGCTCAAGGTGATGCTGGAGAAGGAATTCCACCAGCAAGACCCCAACACCAAGCTGGAGAAAGCTGACATTCTGGAGATGACTGTGGTCTTCCTGAAGCAGCAGCTGCAGCCTCAGATCTCAGCACCTCTGAAAGCCCACCATGACGGCTACTCTCAGTGCTGGAGTGAGACCATGAACTTCCTTTCAGCCAACTCCAAGCTGGACGTGGCGCTTCAGCATCTCAACCGCGGCCAAGAAGCCCAGAGAGCGACGAAAGAGCTCCACGTGTCTCCGGTTGCCTTCCAGCCCAGCCAGGTTTCAGTCAAGCAAGAAACCAGCACCAATAGAGCTGTGTGGAGGCCTTGGTAGAGACCCTGAACCCAGAGACTTTCTCATGTTTACCAGATGGTAGTTGTACCATCTCTTATGATGTAGGAAATGTATTATTTCCAAAGACTTTCGATACGGAATGTGAAAGAACTACGCTTCTATTTGTGAAGCTCCTAAAGGGCAGATTCTTCATATTGAAGAAGAATTAGAAGATAAAAGTTTACATTAGCTCAAACATTGCTTGCTTTGTCAAGTAAGGTTTGCTTTATAGAACCTCGGTTCTGATTCTGCTTAGAATCTAAGCATTTTGATGTGCTGGAATATGTTAATGAAATCATTGATTTTGGCATTTGAGACATGTTCTCATCTTGATATGTTTGTGGAACAAAATGAATAGTGGACACTGTGTGTCTCTCATTGTTGATTAATAAAAATCACTGATTGTGAAAATGAATGAATGACTTCTGTGTTAAGTCTGTCACAAGTATCTCATAATAAGCAATGCTTTTCACTGCCATCTACAGAATGCATGTTTCAGATCTTCAGATATGACTGAGACACTCTGAAAGAGAGACTATCTTGCATAAACACACACATTAGCTCTTATATTATGTAATAACATGGGTTGCATGAGAACATTCAGTTGCTGAGTATGATATTAACTTATAATATCATAACTTTTAAATGGTGCTCACTTACAGATTAATTCAGCGTATCCTTTAAAGTAGCTCAGGGATAATACCCAATAATACAACATGTTTTTTTAACCAAAAACTAGACACACGGTAACAAACAAGAATGGATCACAAAACTGCGTACATTAAAAATGGTCAGTATTTGTTTTTAACATATCATGCATAACATGCTTAGCACTGACATTCAATTAATTTGGTGTTTTAAAGTTCCACCCCCAGTTAGGCCACTTAATTACAGTAATGCTTAATCTCATGTTTGATGTAATTAAATTGCATGTGTGGGCTGTTTGCCCCTTTCCAGTCTAGCGTTAATGTAGACAACTGTTATTTAGTGCTAAGCTATAAGCCCCGTACCTGTAAACATCTTTTGACAATAAAGACTGATTGCGCACCCAGACGATGCTCCGTTTACAATGCATTTGTCTGCTTCTAACAGCATGGGGCTGAGGCGCTCGCTGCTTTCCCACACTCCTCATCCAATCACAGGCCTGCCTGTAACACTTGATAACATCAATGGATCGAGCCTGGGGGCAAACCTGAGCTGGAGCAGAGGAGGAGGGGGATTCCAGGAAGGGGAGTGTGTCTCCCAGTGGGGGTCGGTGGGAGGGTGTGTGTGTGGGAGAGAGAGAGAGAGGTGTGCCATCTCCTACTGCAACTACCTGACAGCCTGACACCCAGTGAGACCAAAGGCTTCCCACAGTAGTAAATACAGCACAGGCACATGCCGTATACTGTAAATGCGGTTGTGTAAAAGTGTTCACACCTAAATGTGTGACAGTGAGAAAAGTGTGTCAGTGCTTTGACTCGAGAGAGGATGTATGTAGGAAAGTTATGTTGCTTATAATGGGGCTGCAAGCCTTTGTTTTGTTCCTATATATATCACTGTTGTTGGAAGAAAACCTTGTATCTCCAAAATGGTAACTTTACAGGAAAAGGAAAAAAAACATACTTTACTTTTAATTTGAATCAATGGAACCAGACATTTTTCTAAATCATTTTGGGTCATTTCTATTGGTCCATTCTTCATGAAATTTACACACAACATAAAGGGCAACAGGCATTTTCAAACGATGCCAAAAACTGAAAAATGGAGATACGAGTAGAAACGATAGTTAAGAATAACCATATTGTACAAGTTGTTCATTTTTCCACGAGCATAAAAATGAGGAACGTAAGTATAAAAACAGGAGTCTACAAAACTGGAGTTCAAAAAATGATTGAAGGTTGTTGATGAGAAAGGAAAAAGCAAACAAAAAAGCTGCTGGTGTTCTCAGAACAATGGACTGACCACCCCAGAGTCCAGACTTCATCATCACTGAATGTGTTTGGGATTACTTAGATTGTGAGGAGTAGAAAATGCAACCAACTTCTAAGACTGTGGAGGTGTGGAAAAACATCCCTGCAGGTTTCTTTAAAAAAAAATTTAAATTTGAGTCTCCTAAAATGAATGGTATAAGAGATCTCTGAAATGTTTGATATTGACGCCTCTGTGTAACTCTGTGTTTGACTGGAAATTAAATAAATAAAAGGCTGGTCTCGTCTCAGTATTAGATATAATGACTGGATTTGAAATGATTTCACTTTGCTGAGTAGACAGCAAAGTATGGGGCCCTATTCCTGTCTTTTGCCTAGATTCCCAGAATCACTAAATACACCCCTTCTCACTGTGTGGTTGGTGTCTACGCTCTAATCCTGCTGGCTGACGTCCTGTGAGACCAAAGACTGATTGTCGTAAAACCCCCACAGATGTGTGACAGTGTGAAAAGTGTGCCGGTGCTTTCAGTGTCCCACCATTTACCACCTATCACACCAACAGGCAACACTAGGAATAAACTCTCAGGCTGAGATACTGAAATATGACACCACCAGATCACTGTAAAGCATGAATATAAAACACATATAGGCCATGATAGTGGAGATTAAAGACATTTATAAGTACTACAAACTCTGCCTACTCAAATATTGTTCTTAATGTACCTTATATTGTCCAGTATAACATTGCTGTCCTAATAAAACCTTCTACCTTGTAATTCTTAACTTAACTGTACATATACAATATTTATTTCCAAGTAATTTTGAATAATTTATATTGCTCCATTTATCATTGTTGTGTGTGTGTGATATATATATATATATATATATATATATATATATATATACACACACACACACACACACACACACACACACACACACACACATATATACACACACACACACACACACACACACACACATATATATACACACATAGATAGATAGATAGATAGATTTACGACTTAGGACTGTGACCATCTACTGCTTTCTACTGCCATCTACAGCTACTTTTTTTTAGAATAGTGCAGTATAACATATTATGAATATCGCTCTTGTCGGAAGAAACATAATTTGAAACTACCTGTTGTCCTTTGCATTGTATGTAAAGAAAGAAATCACCCAAAATGACTTGGAAAAAAGTCTGATTACATTGACTTACATTAAAAGTAAAGTAGGTTTTTTCCTTCTCCTGTAAAGTTACCATTTTGGAGATATGAGGTTTTCGATATACTTGTTACACATGCAGAATCCTTGAACCTGTGCAATATTCTTTTACTCTCACACTGCCAAAACAGTTTCAGTGGACCCAGACCTGACCACACTACTCACTACCCCACACTACTCGATCCACATTAACACAGTTCTTCAACAAGTTGATTTTAACAAGCATATAGCTCACTCCCGGGGGATAGCCGTGAATGGGGGGCAGTGGAGGAGAAGGGTCAGAATTCACACCACCATGCCTAATGGATAATTTAGCGCGGCACACTTCCTTTGTGTGTGCGCTGAAAGGGGAGACTCGGTGAGGAGTGTGGGAAATCCTGCGAGAAGCTGGACCCACACATGTGACCAACAGCACGGCCCTGCTTCCATCCAGCTCACCAGCTGTCTGATGAAACCAGAGCTGACAGCACACAGTGCCTATTATCAGGGGTTTGGCGTACAAACAGGGACATTAACCCCCCCTCCAACCCCCCCAAAACCTCCACACACTTTCTCACACGGGCTCATGCTTCCTTCACGTGTGTGCTTTGGTCTCGTGCAGTGACAGACAGGAGCACACGTATGAATTTGTGTAGACTGGGGGGAGGAGAGAAACAAGGGGGTGGAGTTTTACTGCTTTTATTTGATTTTTTTTATTTACTACTTTTATTTTGGGATCTGTGAGCTCTTGCCAAAAGGAAAATGGAACAAGATGGCATTAGTTGTTAGATAAATAAGTAAATAATTAAATAAATGCATCCTTTTTTATCATGGTCCTGTAAAATATGCACCCCTCAACACACACTTAAAAATAAGGTTCCTGAATGGTTCTTGGCTTGGGTGTATGGTTCTAGTATTTTTTAAATGTATGTATAGAATGTTTACTTCATGGTAAAGACACAGAACCTGCATTATGTAGAGGTTCGTTAAACTTTAAACAGAGTCTCATACATGTCACTGACAGAAATGATTCTTTAAAGAACCATCTGTTGAACTGTTCTTTAGGGAATCAAGTGATTCTTCTAAGGCATCACACCAAAATAACTCTTCTTTAAGGCCTTAAAAGTGTTCTTTAGAAGTGGGAGCAGTCATTGGCCATACACACTTAGCAAAAAGCCTTCTATATGGTACCAAAAAGGTTGACTTGTTGCAAGAGTGGAATCATTGTATTACTTTAAAACAATTTAATAAAAGAATCATTTAAATGTTCGAATGTTTTTTTTTATTCTATGCATAACGGTTCCCTTTACTACAGAACCTATGAAGAACCTCTTTTTAAGGGTGTAGCTGACATTGAAATTTCTCATGAAAACAGTGACATAATTGGATTAATTTAAAGATTTAATGTGTTAATCCTGCCTGAAATGTGGCAAGAATCACCTCAAAGAACCTGCTACAAATGTGAGTGTAAATGTACAATTTACAACTTGACTGCTTTTAACTGCATTTGTTTCATGTGAGAACCACTATGGAGCAACCGTCAAAGTACAATAAAAGTTAGTGAAGATTCAGAATGAGATCAACAAAGCACAGTGAGTATATTTAAATTCATAGTATTTATTTATATTCGGGAGTTAATATTATAAGAAATCACAGTACAATCCTTTATAAAAGGTAACAAATAAGCTTAAAGATAATTTAATAAAAAAATAAAACTAAACTGTTTTACCATAAACTCTACTAGAGTTCAATAACAGATCACAAGACCTTTAGCTCTTCATACTGAAGATTTCAATCTCTTAGTAGATAAACTTTGCCCATGGGGCACACATTAAAACACTGATTCTGATTCTGAAACTCAACATGAGAAAAAATCAGAACGATTGGAATGGAAAATGCGCTTCCTACTCAGCGATGGTACAACTACCATCTGGTAAACATGAGAAAGTCTCTGGGTTCAGGGTCTCTACCAAGGCCTCCACACAGCTCCGTTGGTGCTGGTTTCTTGCTTGACTGAAACCTGGCTGGGCTGGAAGGCAACTGGAGACACGTGGAGATCTTTCGTCGCTCTCTGTGCTTCTTGGTTGTGGTTGAAATGCTGAGGTGTAACGTCCAGCTTGGAGTTGGCTGAAAGGAAGTTCATGGTCTCGCTCCAGTACTGAGAGTAGCCGTCATGATGGGCTTTCGGAGGTGCTGAGATCTGGGGCTGCAGCTGCTGCTTCAGGAAGACCACGGTCATCTCCAGAATGTCAGCTTTCTCCAGCTTGGTGTTGGGGTCTTGCTGGTGGAATTCCTTCTCCAGCATCACCTTGAGCTGCTCAATGCAGTTGTTGATGCGATCTCGCCGCATTTTCTCCACAACTGGTTTCCTTAGCTGATGAAGAAAAGAGAACGTCTGTTAGCAATCCATTCAGATTCATCAAGAATAAAATGCTTATATATGGGAAAACAAATAAACAAAGCAGTGATATACAGCATCGGAATATGAAGCAGATACTTACTCTATGTTTTTCCTTGTTTGTAAGATTTGAGTAGTCAGAAGTTGGTAGGCAAGTAGGAGCCATTCTTTCAGGAGAGACAGGCTGTGCTTCACTGAGGAGAGTCAGTCAGATGTGGTCTAGAGTGAGGATCCCTCTCCAGTATTTATAGGAGCTCATTAGCATTACAAAAGGCATGAGTCCCAGGCAGGATTAGGTTTCCCACACTCCGGGGCCAGGGGGGTGAGGCGTCCTCTACAAATCAAATCAAACCATTCACCTTTCTGCTAGAAATTCAATACTCTGTTATTTCTGTGGCGCCAAGCCGATCAGTTTATCTGTTAGATCATATGTGTCAGCGTCTATCAATTTTCTGAGTTTAATTAAAGTTGTGCTTTTAATATATAGGGTTGAGCAGGAAAGAGACTTGTTTTATGCATCACATTTCTTTTGGTCACCAAAAAACAAATGACAAATGCCTGGCCAGTGTTCTTGTTTTCACACTGTTCACTACATCTTTGAGAATTTTTTAAAGGCAAATTTTTTACCAGCTGGCCCAGAATGTTTTGTTTAGGTTTCTATATAGCACTGAAAAAGGTTCGTTCATTGTTAAAAGCTTTACATTAACAGTAGAACCTCTTATGGTGCTATTTAGAACTCTTTTAAAAATATAGCTATAGAACCATATTCATTAATCTGAAGTAACATTTTATGATGCATACAACACTAAGCATGCAAACAGTTCTTTGAGTGTTCATGGTTCTATACAGAACCACTGTCTTTACTCAACAACCCTTGAAGAACCATATTTTTAAGAGTGAACGGTTCTTCGGATTGATGGAGAATGTATTGTGAATGGTTCTATGGTGAAAGTGGTAAACTGAGCCATTTTAAAAAGATTCTATAGTACCATTTACAAGATATTCTCCATGTATCTGAATTCATGATTTCACCAAAGAAACAAGCATGAAATTATATGTAGAAGTCGTGGTTCCATATAGAACCATTGTCTTTACTAAAGACCCCGTGAAGAACAATCCTTTTTAAGCGTGTTAGATACTCAAATACCATTAGGACATGGCATGTGCCACGCTGGACTTCAGTGATAGTAAAATCCACGACAGACTGAGGGAGACACTTGAGTCTGGGAAACAGCGCAGGTCAGTTTTCAAAGCCTCGGCCACAGCATTACGGCTTTCTTTAGGATCAAAGAGCGTCTCTGAAGCGTGGCTACTGGACTTTATGGCCTCCCACAAACTTGACAGTCTTGTCAGCACAACAGGACGTCTGAGCAGGTGTTGGGCACACTTTTAGTGGCCCGTGTCGCTGTTTTCCCACAGTGGGAGAGGAAGTAGCCCCATGTTTGAAGACAAACTGAAGTGCAGAGCGCTGTTTTTGTTCCCCCTTTAATTAGCCCCATCCGTCAGTCAGCGTGGGAAAGGGCTCAGAGTCGTCTGTTTGAGCTGTTACCTCAGGTATAAATAGACTAGCGGCAGTTTGCCCACCTCTTCACATCGTTGTTTTTGGTAGCAAGGCTGTTAGTTTCCTTCGTACATGTTAAAAAACAGAGCGAAATGGCTCCAGTCGGAGAAAACATGAGCTTAACCACGGAAAATAGCAAAGTAAGTACATTAACAACAGTTTCTTTGCTCATTTTAGCTACGAGGTTGAAGTTGGCTTCCTACGTATTTGCCTGCTTCTTGGAATTTTCCCGTTCCACCTTAAATGGTGCAGCAGTTACACTCCGGGGCTTTAAGGTGGAACGGGCAAATTAGCATATTTTAACTAAATATAACGACATTTCTTTCATTTCCCCTCTCAGTTTCGCAAAGTCCTCGTGGAGAAAAGCCGGAGAGACCGAATTAACGGCAGCATCGAGCAGATGAGGGCTCTTTTCCACCAAGCCGTACAAACGTGTGAGGAAAACAGCGACTTCAGACTCGACAAAGCCGCCATTTTAGAGATAGCGGTGAGTTTTCTGAGGCACAAGGCGTTTTCCCGCGCAAATTCAAACTACGCGCGCGGCTTCTCCCACTGTTTACAAGAAACCCTGCGCCACGTGACTCTGCACGCGCGCCTTCAGCCCAAAGCCACGGAGGCCGTCCAGCGTTTCTACGTCCGCCAGAGGTCAAGACTGACAGCGCCGCACGGTCAGCTGAACCACAGATCAACAAAACCGTCCGCCTCGAGGTCCACAGCTGCACTGTGGAGGCCCTGGACGAACAACTGAGGCTTCTGGGACTGTTCTGCGTGTTTATCTAAGTATGTCTTTTAAAGGGGAATTCCACGTTTACCCCCAAATTTCTGCATTAGTAGATCATTAAGACTTAAAATTATTCAAAGAGGTTTCGTTCTAGAAAAACTGAGTCAGAATTGATTAGTGCTGATGGGAACCAGAGGGCTGAAGGATTAAAGGGGGAATCCAATGATTTTTTTTTTAAATTTAATTTAATTTTTATTAAATATGCATTTAATGTGCATATTTTAAACATGCAGTGGTTAAGATGTAAAAGACATTCAGAGTGATCTGGTGTGAAATGCTCCGTTATAAGTTTCTATATAAGTCAGAATTATTCACAGTTGTGGTGATAGGAAAAAGATGACTTTTAGAGGCGTATAATGCCTCTAAAAACTCCCTCACAGAAAGGTACTACATTATATGGTTATGAATATGTTGCCTGATGTCAGAGACGTTGTTTTATTAAAGTTTTGCGTAAACATTTGGCCTAAAACGTTCCTTTTTTAAAAGTCATTCATGGCGGAGTGGTACTTGTAGGCATGTATGCATTGTGAGGCAACATAGTCCCCAAAGAAAATGTATTTTTCTATATTTACTGCTATTTTACTATGATTAACGACGCATAGAAAAAAATCAGACGACGTGTAGGTTCACTGGTTCTGGATAGTAGATAAAATGGCAGTTGTTGCGACTCCTGGTTGCTATCACTACCAATAGAAAGAAATCTACATTTTTTTTTTTTGTAGTTTCTCTACAGTAAAACATTTCATGTCAAACCACTCTGAATGAATGACCTTGTTTACATCTCAGCAACTGAATTATGCAGAAAATTTGAATAATCAGGGCCCCCCTTAACCAGTACTCCTAAAACGTTGTGATTGCGTTGTCTGATGCCTGAGGCATTGTTTTATGATCATTTTGAGAAGGCTGAAAGTATTTTTTCTAATGCAACTGTGGTGGAGAGGTACATGCACATGTTCTAAGACAAAGTAGTCCCCTAAGAATTTTTTGAGATTTCTTACTAATTTACCATTATCAACATTCCACGTACAAACTCAGAATGCATATCGCTGTTGTCGGAAGAAAACCTTGTATCTCCATTTTTGACGATTTTCAGTTTTTGACATAATTTGAAAATACCTGTTGTCCTTTACATTGCATGTACATTTCATGATGAATGGACCAAAAGAAATGGCCAAAAATTACTTGGAAAAAAGTCTGGTTCCATTGACTTGTACTAAAAGTAAGGTGTGTTTTTTCCTTCTCCTGTAAAGTTACCATTTTGGAGATGCAATGTTTTTTTTTTTTGGACACCAGTGATATGTAGATTAGTTGATCATTTTGGATAGTGAATAAAATATAATAACTATATTGTAGATATCACCACCCCTGGTTCCTATCACAAACATTTTGAAGAAAGTCGGTAAGTTTCTCAAGTACAGTAAACCATTTCACACCAAACTGCTCTGAATGATACTGTTAACTACTCAGTGACTGAATTATTGAATTGTGCAGAAATGTTGCATAATTGGTGTAATTCCTTATTAACGGTTTCTTTTTCATGGTTTGCTGCTCTGTATTTTTTGTGCAACATTTGCATGTGTACTGGATTTGATCTAGTTTATTTAGTGTGCACAATGTATGGCAAATTGTAAAGTTTTTAGTAGCTGCCTTTTGTAAAGGTGTGTATAATGTGTATGATGCAAACCCCATTGAATTTAAGCATTTATCTTTATTTGTGCTCTGTTGCAACTGACTCACGTATTAAACATTCCCTGTATTTATGTCTAAAATCTGCCTTGAGATGTTTTGCTGTATCTTAAAGTCTCATCTACATGACAACATGGCACTATTTCTCTATTCATAATATTAATATTATGTTTGGATGCCTTATCTAATTGGTGTTTTTGCAATGCAGAGTCCAGTAAAAGGCTTTACAAATGAGTCGAGATAAATGATTTATTGTGTCTCAAATGTGAGACATTAAGCATTGTTTTACAGAACATCAGTGCAGACAATGCAACACACACCAGAACACTGACACAATGTCATCTAGTACTTGAAAACTCAATTTGAGTTAATATAAACTGAACAGCAGTGCAAACAATGCAGTACACATAAAGACACTGATGCAATGTCATCTATAACATTTGAAGTCAATTGATTTCATTTGTATATTTCCTGTATTTAACTTCATAGAAGATTACATATTTCCTCTTTACAGATTATTCAGTGTGAATGGGCATCAAAAAGAAGAACCACATAGTGGAAGATATTACAAGCACCTTCATACTGAAGGTCAAATTAAGTAAAAGAATCTTGACTCGTGGAGTAAATGATTCCAGCATAAAGTACAAGTACTTTTTGCATATAAAGGGGATTCCCAGAAATGAGAAGGATGGCATAATTTCCTAAAACAGAAATGTAAATTGCTTTCAAACAATAAAGCATTTATATTATTCATGGTTAGAAAGTCTTTAAAAAAAGAAAGTCTTAAATTTTTCCTGAACTTTCTCAAAACTGAAAGGTATAAGCTTATTGCCATAAGGCAATAATAAAACATTACGTTTCAACAACCGAGTTATGGTTCTGCTCATGCAGAAGTTGAAGCAAAGTCCATACATGGTCTCTCTAGTTTTGAGACTTCTACCAGGGCCTCCAGAGGGCGCTCTGAACTGAACTCTTCTCTTTGCTGATGGTCAGTTGGTCTGCAGAGCTCAGCATAGGCTGAACACTTTCCCTCCATTTCTCTTCTGTTGATGGCTGCAGGTTCTGGAAGTGGTTCAGCAGTTTTCTCTGAGACTGTGTCTTCACTTCTTCTTTGGACAGGAAGTGCACAACGTCATGGACACATCTAGAGAAGCCTTGACTGATAGCTGCTGAGTCGGTGGAGAATGCAGGCTGTTGCTGCTTCTGCTGTCGTCTCAGGAAGCTGACCGTCATCTCCAGGATGTCTGCTTTCTCCAGCTTGGAGTCGGGCTGCTGGTTGAGGAACTCTGGAGCCAGGAGAGTCTTGATCTGCTCAATGCTGCTGTTGATACGATCTCTGCGCATCTTCTCCACCACTGGCTTTCTCAACTGCAGATACAAAAAGAGAGCAATGGTTAGTGAACTGAACCAAAAGCATTGCTGATAATTAAGTAAGACAGTATAATTTATTTCTTATTTTAGCAGGTTCTCAGTTTACCTTGTTGTTGAGAGGTAGGTGCTCCTTTGAGATGGTCATTGCTGAAGTGACTGCAGGAGTCATGGCTGTATCTCAGTGCTGTAGATCTCTCTGTGTAGAGTGAGTCTGATCTACACTGGCTGAGTCTCCTCTATTTATACTCCCACATCTCCATATGAATGTGTGGGTCTTGGGCTTGTTGGAGGTTCTCACAGTTTGTAGCCAATGGGAGCGCTCGGGCAGACAATGAGGAGTGTGGAGCTGCCACATGCTCAGATCTTTTAACCAGGGACAATGTCTGTGTCTCAGGGGAGCAGGTGGAGGGGTGGGGGTGATGGAGAGGGACTGGGTGAATCTGGGAAAGTGGTGACCTGCCTAATGTTCAAGGTTAATGGTCGATCATACGGTCATGATCACTGTAAGCACGTGCCACCAAGTTCTAGATTTTATGAGTAAACTCCAACTTTTACCCTTATCACCTGTTTTGAATTGCTATAAAGCCAAAACTGAAGATTCCTTTATTTGTCTATGAGAATTAACATTCAATTATATCGGTTCATTTTACCTGAAACAACAAAGCACAGTCTCTTACTTACGCTATTGTCATGTCATACTGTTTATTTTAGATTATGAAGTAATTTAATTCATTTTAATGAGAATACAACATACATAGAAAACACTTTAAAATGTTCCAGCACTGTAAATAATATTGTCTAGTCGAGAGGTCTCCATATGTTACCTGTTCTGTTCCCAGGCTTAGATTTCTGGCATGCATGCATGAACACAGGCACAGCTGTCCACCAGTGGTAAGCTGAGAATGCCCCCATCGCCCACCCCTCTGCGGAGAGCTGGGAGCCACAGAGACACACGGCTTCCCACACTTCTGTATTCATCACATTAATTCAGCCAAACAATAGAAGTGTGTCTGCTCTCACAGGAACGTCCAGCTACCGCAGTGAAGGACTGGACTCAAACAACCTGCAATTACTGCTCATCTACTCCAACAGAGACTGTCCGATTTGATGATTTTCAAACATGGCCTTAAATATAAAGGTGCCAAAAACGGTTTATTGTAAGATGGCATAGAAAAAAAAAATTCAATGCATAGAGAACAATTTTGTTAATGAGATTAATGTTAGTATTCTTTCTGTAAATGTCATAGGAAGAACCCTTAATCTGCACTCTTAAAAAGATGGTTCTTCAAGGGTTTTGTAGTAAAGATAGCAGTTCTATATAGAGCCATGAACGCTCAAAGAACCATTTGCATGCTTAAATCGTTCTTTGCATGGTGAAATGTTCTTTAGATTGATGGACAATGTGCTGTATATGGTTCTATATATGGTTCTTTTTTGTTAATGGTTCTATTTAGCACCAAAAAGTGTTTATCTATTGTAACAAGCTTGACATCATAACATGCTATATACACAACACATTCTAACATGTGTGTTCCTGGTTCTATATAAAACCATTATCTTTACTGAAGAGCCATTAAAGAAGCATCTTTTAAAATATTGTGATATAGAACCTTTATACAATGTGAAGGTTCGCCTTGGGACCACCGGTGGTTCCAAAACACACTTCGTCATATTCTTCATAATTTTCATATTTCATAAGCTACATTCAGAAGGTGGGTGTAGAGCTGTAACTGTCTTCTTTCCAGTCTTCTTACCCAATAGATGGGTAATGTAATTTTAAACCCTTATAATAAAAGAAGTTGAACTCGACCCATTTTTCCACAAATCTGGGCTATAAACTATAAACAGATGGCGTCTCTTCAGTGATCTGCTCTGTAAAAATTATTTTTATAAAATAATACAAAGAGTATCTAAGATTTTTGGCTTTCAGCAGTAAATTGTAGGCATATAGAAATGTGTGTGATAATAAAACACATTTACAAAAAATAAATTAATAAAATAAAAATGTACATTTATTTCATACAGTTACTGAATAATTTGCCTTATGATTTGGTCATGTAGATTCAGATGGACTAACTATAGTATAGTTATACCCTGGAGAATAAGAGGTTAGGATTTTCAAAAGATTATTTATGCTCACAAATCTAAATTAGCTCTCATACAGCGTTGCTTAAGGAACAGGGGGCACCTTATTTTGCTAAAAAAAAAAAAAAGATCATTTAGCAATGAAAACATAGCAGAGAAAACATGACCATATGAAGCACATGGAGCATAAACATTTTCCTCATTGGATGGAACATCAATAGTAAAAAGCTCAGTTTTTTAGTATGAGCACTGTTCACTGGGCCCATCTTTAGCCCTTATTACTTACAACAAATTGAAATATGGTTCTTCAAGGGCAAAGGTTCTCCATTGTTAAATGGTTCTTCTCCATGATGAAACACCTGTTGTATATGGTTAAAGAAACATTTTTAAAAAATGTCACACCAAAAATGGTTCCACTATTGTTACAAGTCAAAGACCTTTTTTGGTACTATATAGAACCGTTTTTGCCAAGAGTTTAGCATAAAAATTTCGAATCACTTGTGATTTTTGTGATTGTCTACAATACTAACTTCTATAGTATAGATTTAAATACTAGCTCAATACCAAAAAGTATTTTAACATGCTGTATTCAATATTTCAACATTTCAAGTATGTGTAGAACAATAAGTTTTTAAATTATAGCAGTTACAGTCATACTTATTTTTCGATTTTTAATTTAGATTTAATCACCACTGTTGAAATGCAAGGTGTTTTGGACGTAAATTTTATTAAAATTTTATTCATGTTGTCCAGCCATGACATTCATTTTGAATCTTCCACAACACAGTTTGTCACATTTAAATGTAAAATTTGTTAAAATGTATTACATTTGATGTAGAAATATATACATCAAATTCTGAACTCTCATTATTGATCATAGTGTGGGAACCTGGTAAATCCTGGATGTTCATGCCCCCAGTCATTTTCCCACAGTGGAACGGCTGACCCCACTGCCAGATGGCAGGGAAGAGAACATCCCACCTGCCCAGTGAAGTGTCCCATTAGAGTCCCACTGACTGGAGAACTATGACCAGACTATTGTCTTGTGTGCTCTATCTCTGATTGGCTGAGCTTGGATGGAGCTTGATATAAATATGGGCTGGTTCAGAAGATATGAGCCAGATTCGAATTTAACCCAGCAGGAGACGAGCAAGAACAACCGAACTCAGCTTCAAGGCCTCAGGAGGAACCATCTTCTCTTTTTCTACTTGAAACCAAAAGCAAACACAGCATCAAACATGCCTGCCTACATGGACATCACTCCTCAGGACAACATCCAGTATGCCAGGTACTTTAAAACAGATACCATTCTTACATCTGGGACATGAGAACTTTTGCATTGTATGTTTGCGTGCAGGACACTGATGTATATTCCTCTGTTTCTCCAGGTGTAAACTCCACAGCTTGGAGAGGAAGTGCTTCAGCAAAGTGGAGAAACTGAAGTCAACCCTTGAAGAACATCTCCATAATGGGATCCCCACTTCAGATCTTCTGGAGAAGACGGTTTCCTTCTTCACCATGAAAAAAGCCGTGGTCTTTCCCAGCGGCTACTCGAGGTGCACCCGTGATATTCTACGACTCTTCCCATCCCCGACAGAAGATGTGGCACCGCTGTGTTGCCAACAGTGAGCATTTAAAGCGAGAGCTGTGATGAGGAGGTTCTCTTGCATGCTCTGGAGAAAACTACCTCTGAACTACCTCTGTCCTGGATGGCACCTTGCTGGCACTTTCACGATGGACGCTGCAGATTTTGGAGAAGACTGAATGCAAACATGCTCCGCGAGTGTACGCAGTCTTGTGGAAGCATTGCAGTGAACTTGAGGATGCAATTTATGCATTTACTTAATTTTAAAAATATAGATCTCTGTTTTCCTCTCATTGAGAGATGCTATTGTTATGGTTATGGTTGAAATAATGAAACGATGAGCATGATGTCTGCTGGAGGACATGATGGCTCACCCTAAAAAATGTTTAATTAATCCTTAAAAGATACAATGTATCATTTTATTGAGACTTGACTTCGTTGATTTTTGTTTTGAATCAGTTTAATGTGTAATGTATACATTTTTCCTTATGAAATAAATATTATTTCACATCTATTCACATGAAATGTCTATCTTGTCTTGTTGAAATGACGGCTACAGATGCACAGCAGGTGAATATTCACACATGCACATTGTCTTCCAGAATTATTGGCACCCTTAAAGAGATAAAGTGAAGAACGAAAAAAAAGACTCTGTTGGTTATCAAGAGAAATCTTTTCAAATGATAAGGACCAGTTGTGCCATAAATTCTGGTAAGCAGTGTTTTTGCTTAGCCATCTGAAGAAACATACCTTGTCAGTGCTGAGAAATAGTGATGATATCTGGTTTTGATGAAAAAAATATCAGGATAACAGCTGTACTTAAATATCCAGCCTCGTTAGCATTGACCTTAAGTCCTCCCTCAGGCATCATCTTAAATAGGGATTCCATCAACGTGTCAAAAAATTCTGCAAAATTCAATGTGGTTTGGTGAGAAATTCTTCCGAAAGTTCAGAAATTCTGAGTCAGAATTGTTTGCAGTGGTGGTGATAGGAACCAGACGTCCTATGTGTTGCCTCTAAGAGTTCACAGAAAGTCATTATATTAAATTGTTACAAATTCTGATGCCTGTTTTAAGATAAATACAGTTTTGGCCTAAAACAATTTTTAAAGCTTATGCTTGGTGGAAAAGTACCTGAAGACAATATATTTCATTTTTTCAGACGTACAACTATGATACCATTATCAAGATGACATAAAAACAGTCATATGACATGTTAACGTACATTTAGGATGGTAATTAAAAGGTTTATTATTATTCTTTTTTTACTACAGTTAGCACTGCAGGTTCTATTTCGTCTTTTCCAGTTTCTTAAATCTCAGAAAAATGAAATTATCACGATGCATATCACATATTGTAAAAATTGTCTGGAAATATCATGATAATTTGTCATATTGCCCATCCCTAATAGAGATCAACCTCTGCTTTCTTTCACCACCGCTGTGAGGAAGTCAGTAAGCTTCTTTTCAATGAACCATTTCACATCAAACCACTCTGAATGATTTTGTTTACATCTGAAGGATTAAATTATGCATACATTTTGAAAAATCTGTGAAATTTTCCCCTCAGTTTAGTGAACTTGAGTTTTTATTACAAATTGGTGTTTACATCTAATGCAAGATAGTACGATCGGAAAGTAGAATGGGAAAATGGAAAATACCGCAATATGTTGTGAATATTCCAAAATCTAAACATTAGAATGTATAAATTTTTTACTATATTGTATTTTATAATTCTACAGTGCATTTATGATGCAACAGTTATTCCAGTCCTCCATGAATCTGAAACCACACACATCAGTATTTCATCAGCAGTTTACTTTGAGTGAATTCTTTAGTTATTTAATTGATGAATCAGCATATTGCAGGTTGTATATAAGCTTTCAGTCATTGAAGGTGTTTAATTAGTTCTCTACACAGTGCATTGTACCTCTTCTTTAAGCATACGTTCTTATTAAATGGAAGCTAACTAATATGATAAACACTGACTGACTTGTTGGTCCTCCCAGGTTAACGTTAGTTGGGAAAGCCTGTATGCACGGGACTGCTCAAGCAGGTCAACGATGGTTATCTGAAAAGCTTTCACCCCAGAGGGTGTGTTGACCAGCTGTGTGTAGAGGTGATTAGCATTTAAGAAGGCACACTTCCATTGATCAGTCAAAGCCTTTTTAGTGGGCAGAGTGTGGGAAAGCTTAGGACAGCAGAGTCACAGCTTTAGTTCATTATGTCAGTGTTTTGATGTAAACAATTTGTTAAGGACTAGATTTCTTTAGCATAATGAAAGTACTGGATTTTGCACATATTGAAAATAATAAAAAATTATTTTACTAGCTAGAATATCTAAAATTGTTTCATATTACAAAAGTTGTGTATTATATTATTTATCACTTGCTGTTGTTTCCAGGATATATTTTTGAAAGTTTAAATAAAACATCTAAAAATAAGTTTTGGAGGCTAGATTCTGATATTTAGAGCTACAAATGTGAAAGTTTTATTGTATCTAAAGTAACGATTAAAATGACAAACTCTTGGATGGTATAAATTAATACAACCAGAGAAATAAAAATAATGTAAACATAGTGAGGTCCAAAGCTCTGGGACCACACTGAATTATTTTTTTTCATTTAAACCTGGAAATAATATATATTGTTTTAGAATTTGGAAGAAAGACAAGTAAAATCCACACCAAATATTTAGGATTCTTTATTATTTCTAGGTCACTATTCAAATTCAAGCAAATTTGGGATACTGACCATATCAAGGCCTTTATATCAAAAAGGTCAGATTGATTTTTAGTTTTCTCTCTTCCACTGAAGCTCATGTTCGGATGGCTGGATTGGCAGGTGGATTTGATCAACTCATCAGAGGCTTCTGCACAAAACTAGTGGAGTCCAGGCTTTTGGACCCCACTGTCAGAACTGGTAGAGCTTCAGCCAATAAGGATCTTTCCCTCCAGATTGTGAGTGATGTAAAGTTGTTAACAATACAACTCCTGAGCCATCACTAATGATCCATTCAGCTCTCTGCAGCTTTTGTACTCCACTGATCTCAGCACAGACGACTCAGTGTGGGAAACTCAGACACGCTCTCTACTCACACTGACCCACAGCTACAAAACACCATCAATTCTGCTGCACCTGAGAGTATTAACTCTGAATTAGGGCTGCATGTTTCCAAACTTGTTGAGTAAGCTACTTAAATTAAATCACTTTAAAGCTAACAAGATACAGCACATTACACTGCCTACAGCAATTAACACAGAATTTCAGGGACAATGTTATTATAATCATGTAATATTATTTTACATTTTATATTAACATTTATCAATTATTATTATTTCTTAATTATTGCTTTATTTTTATTTATTCACAAATATTAATTTCATAAATATACTTTGTAATATTTTATGTAAACACTTATGAATATAAATCCTGGATTGTTCTGGTTTCAGATGAGCTCTAAGGCAAAAAGCCATGATAACCTAAGGATTCTACAATGTTATTTGATATCCCCCCCACACGTGTGTGGTGATATTATGGGCATGTGCTCTGTTAGTAACATTGATCAGTCAGCAGATCTGCTCTCTTTAAAGGGTCACCACTTTCCCAGATACACACAGCAGTTCTGAGCCCCTCATCATCACCCCCAACCCCACCACCTGCTCCCCTGAGACATGGACATTGTCCTCAGCTAGAAGATCACTGAGCATGTGGCAGCCCCACGTTCCTCATTGTCTGATCAAGCTCTACCATTGGCTACAAACTGTGAGAACCTCCAACAAGCCCAAGACCCACACATTCATATGGAGATGTGGGAGTATAAATAGAGGAGACTCAGCCAGTGTAGATCAGACTCACTCTACACAGAGAGATCTACAGCACTGAGATACAGCCATGACTCCTGCAGTCACTTCAGCAATGACCATCTCAAAGGAGCACCTACCTCTGAGCAACAAGGTAAATTGGGAGCCAATTAAAATGAAAACAAATGACAATTTTTACCTACTTTATGAATGATGAGTTATGTTTTGGGTTCAGTTCACTAACCATTGCTCTCTTTTTGTATCTGCAGTTGAGAAAGCCAGTGGTGGAGAAGATGCGCAGAGATCGTATCAACAGCAGCATTGAGCAGCTCAAGACTCTCCTGGCTCCAGAGTTCCTCAACCAGCAGTCCGACTCCAAGCTGGAGAAAGCAGACATCCTGGAGATGACGGTCAGCTTCCTGAGACGACAGCAGAAGCAGCAACAGCCTGCATTCTCCACCAGTTCAACAGCTGTCAGTCAAGGCTTCTCCAGATGTGTCAATGAAGTTGTGCACTTCCTGTCCAAAGATGAGGTGAAGACACAGTCTCAGAGAAAACTGCTGAACCACTTCCAGAACCTGCAGCCATCAACAGAAGAGAAATGGAGGGAAAGTGTTCAGCCTATGCTGAGCTCTGCAGACCAAAAGACCATCAGCAAAGAGAAGAGTTCAGCCAAGATTGCCCTCTGGAGGCCCTGGTAGTGTCTGGAAACCAGAAAATGAACACTTCAACACTCCAAAGTCTATATTAGATGTGACGAACACATGATTTTTTTTCATGAAGTTGAACTTTTAGGTGCCGTTTTGATTTTAGGAAACTTTGTATGTATTGCAAAATACTTTGGAAGACCCTTTCACTTCTAAGATCTCAAGGGTTAAGTCTATGTTAGACCTTACTTCTGAATCAGCCTGATTTTGCTAAATATTTGAGCATGTTTTGCTCGAGTTTCGTCCAATTTTAAGGACTGGATTCGCAAAACTTATTACATAATGTTTGAAGTATGCTAATTTAATGCCTTCTATGAAGGTCGTTACATTAAGACAGGATCATTGATCCTTAGCTTACACATTTCAGTTTCTCTGAAATATCATTTTTGACAACTGACAGTTTATCAACATGATAAACTCTGTTGATTTATCCTTATTTCTCATTTATTTTTGAGAATTGTGAATTGATTTAATGTTTGTGCTTTATAAGTGCATCTGTTGGATTATAATTACAGAATTGTACCTTAATTAAGGTTCATTTTTATGTATATTTTATTGTTGTTTGTGTAACACATTCTGGCATTAACAGTATCTGTTTAGATGTTTTGTAACCACTTACTATTTCTTTTGAGAAATGCTGTATTTGCATTTAGCAGATTTCACCTGGTGGACATATTTGTGTCTTTTGTAAAGACTGTTAAAGCTGTTGAAACTCTGCTCTGTTATGAGCGCCACGTCTTGAAGAATCCTTCAAGGAGCTGTTGTGATATGTTATCACTCAATTACTTTGTTGCCTCTGGTAACAACAGAATAAAACATAAGAAAAAGCACCTCTGTTGTCTCGTGAATTCTGTTATGTCAGGGAACCAAACACAGAATTAGCATGGAAGGTAGAAGAATTCTTTCTGATATTACACAATAATAAGGTTCTATTATTAAAAGCTATATGAAAAATCCTAAATACCGACTATTTAAGGTGATACAATTCTACAAGTCTGATATCATGGGCAAAAGTGTGATTTCAATAACCTGAAGGACAGATTTCAGTACATTTATTTAGGTTTCATATTTATGCGAATTGGTCAAATGACATTTTTTTGAATATTTACGTGAAACCAAGTGAACACATCCTCCACAGAGAACACACTTCTCCACATTTTAATACACTATTACTGTTCATTTGCTGAATTTAACATATTTGAAAAAAAAGTAAAAGTAATGACACATTTTATATTTCATTTCTTCCAAAATGTTAAACTTATTCTCACCTAGAAAATAAAAAATTGTCATTTGACAAAGGGTGTTCAAACTTTTGCATATGACTGCATGTATTGATTTATTGTTTCCCATTATTTTCACAATACAATGGTAAAGCAGAGCATTTAACATTTCCATACATTGAATCACTTTGAAAATAGCAAAACAAGAACTAGATCCCAAAAACAAACAAAAACACCAAAAACAAACAACTAAACAAAATTTGAATACAAATAAACTCCAGCTACTCCAATGTAACAGTTTTGTGAGTGTTTACCTTTTATTGCCTGTAACCAGATATTAGTGTATAATTTGATCAGTGTTCTTATTAAGTATACCCTTATTAATGATCGTTTAAAGTGACCAAAAGTCTTCCCTGATAAGAATGGAGAACAGTGGAACTTGAAGCCATAAGCACATCAGACACACTTGTATTGTAGGTTAATTGAAGGCAGTGAATGAAGAGTTTGTGGGAAACTCACAGAGCCCTCAAGGACAATGGAATTTAGTGACCAGGGGTCAGGAGGAGGGGCACAGTCTCAAATATAAAATTCAGTACCACACATTAGCATTACAACGAGAAATGCTGGTAACACTTTCCTGTAGGGCAGTATTCACCTACATAGGCTCTTCATGACCACTAACACAGACCTACATAAACATTTATAAGGCTTATTCCAATAAGCATCGCTTGTCATAAAGGCTCCTTTGAGCAACCTTGATGTCAAGTTGACATAACATCTGGGTCAGATGACGATTTTTTTCCCTCACACTGGGTTGTCATGAGACTTTTTTGAGTGAAATGACATAACATGTTATAACAACTGACCTTGTATCTCACACAGTGACATAATGCTGATGTGGCACAGCTCAAATCTTATAAATGGTAAAATGAAACTCACTTTACCTAAACAGAAAAAGCTCACTTTTGTCCTGACTTGGCAGGCTATGTGATTTTATCAGCATTATATCACTTTATTATATCCGTGACATACACTAAGTTACAATGTCAGCGTCATTTTGCCCGAGAATTATGACAAGTTAATATCAGAAACAGAAATCAGTGTTACCTGAGATAGATGTTATGCCAACTTGACACAAAGCTGATAATTGCAACTTTTAGGACAAATGATGCCTATTGGAACAAGTGCTTAAAAAATGATGTAGGTCTATGTTAGTTGCAGTGTTAGTGAATGTCCTGTCTATTAACCCATTCATGCCCACACTATAACTTAAATTTGCTTGACTACAGTGGTTCTTAACTCTTTAAATGGGCAGGGCTCTTTGGCAGGCCCAAATTTTTATTACATGCTTCTATAACCATAGAAAACCTCAGCCAGTTTGCATTGAAGTCCCTGTAGTTACTAAATAATAAGCCTAAGTATGTAATAAGAGCAGGATTAAGGGCTAAAGCTTCACTAAGCACAAGACTAAAAACAAAATATTGGTCAAACTGTTCAATTACAGCATCTAGTGCTCTTATTGTACTTTTCTCGCTTCATGAGTGTTGACTGAATTCAAAACTAGTCAATTACAATAATGTATGAGTAACTTGGATATATTAGATTTTTGAGAGAATTTTTTGTCTGTATTTATTATTCAGAATTTTGCCTGTTTTTTTTTATTCTAACTTTGATTAATATTATAGATATGAAACATAAGGGTTATTAAAAAAAATCGAATATTATTTGAGTAGGCAGTGCCGCAATGTGGCCTGACACCAAATTTGAGCTACTTATGTCAAACCAGAAACAATCTGTGGCCAATTTTACAAAATTTTACATCTTTGAAGATTGAATGAAATAACTTACTGTACTACATCTTACACTTTGATTGAAAAAAAAAATCTGGTGTATACAGATTATTAAGAATGTAGATTGTTTTTAGAGGTGTGGTAATGAATTAAGCCATCAGTTGGTGGTCTGTGAGAAAATCCTTTAAAAATCTATGAGAATTCTTCAAACATTGCCTCATTTTCAGTGTTTACCCCATGCATAACCAGCGACTTTTCAACAAGCTTGTCGGGAACTGCTCGCCCACAGAATAATTAGCATTTGAATGGGCACACTTCTATTGTCCAGCGCTCGCTCTCAGTGGCCAGAGTGTGGGAAAGCTCGGGAGAGCAGAATCACAGTTCTTAATGTCATTAGCATCCTAAGCCCCACCAGCCCCCCAAGCGTTTGAGTAAGAGACAGAAACACAAAAAGGCAGACCGTTCTTTGGCCGGCATGTCTCGTCATGACGTGTCACCTAAGACATCCAAATACATGAATCTGATGAGCTCATATTCATCGTATGAAGATAAAGGTGAATTTATCCCAAATGCAGCGCTAGTACTTTGTGGTAAACCTGGTATCCTGTATCTTTTTGAATCAAAGTGGGAAGATTAATGAAAATACTGTTCGCACACGGTCGAAACAGGAAACTGCACCATTTCAAAGGGGTGAAATAACACTGGTGTAATTCTAGCAACAAGTTAAGCCGTTTTCCCTCCAGATGGTTAGTGATGTCAGGCTCTGTCAACAATGCAACACAGTCTTTAGACATCTCTAACAGTCTATTCAGCACTCCGGAGCTTTTGTCCTCTATTGATCTCAGCACAGAGGACTCAGTGTGGGAAACTCAGGCACGCTCTCTACTCACACTGACTGACAAAGACAAGATACAAGACACATCTGTTACATCTGGACTGCTGCTTTAGGGACTGCTACCTTTGGGATACATTATGAAACTCAGACGTGTACAGTATGTGACTTAGATGGATCACTGGTGGAACCTTAGATCTTCAAAACAGTCGCTGACAAAGACAAAGGAAAAACATTCTTAATTTTGTGTTAGAGATGGCATGATACCACTTTGTTTCCCAATACTGATACTGATATTGAAACCTTGATGTTGAGCCGAGACTGTTAACTATCTGGTATTTGTTCTTTTAAAAACACTTTTAAAAAGTTTTAAAAAGGTCCTTTTAAAGATAATAAGCATTTAAAAGTAGAGTGGTTTGAATTCACTCCAATATCCAATCTAGCATTTTTGTCATTGATACTGATATGCAATCTGTACTATTAAATGTAAATGAATGTAACAGCATCTCTTCAATGAAAATTTCTATTGGTCCATTTGTCACTGCATAAATATCAGCTTCAAATGATAATAATAATAATATAAATCAATAGTAAAACGTTCACATATTTGAAAACACTGGATCGCAACAGTTCCAAACTCACAAAAGCATCTATATTAGGGTCAAATTTCTGTTATAAATAATACAAATTACACATTGTCTTTAGAAGTGTGCCATGTATGTGTCTAGTGTATGCAAATTTATGCTTAAAATTCTACTTTCCAAACTCATTTTATGAAATAAGCATATATTATTAGCTCAAAAATGATTCCCTAATTGAAGATGACAACATAATTCAAGAGTTTAGGTGTGCTCCACACGTGTGCACCACGATGATAGACGTGTGCTCTGTCAATGACATTGATCTCAGCATCAGGGAGCAGATCTGCTCTCTTTAAAGGGTCACCACTTTCCCAGATTCACACAGTCCCCTCTCCATCACCCCCACCCCTCCACCTGCTCCCCTGAGACATGGACATTGTCCTCAGCTAGAAGATCACTGAGCATGTGGCAGCCTCACATTCCTCATTGTCTGATCAAGCTCTACCATTGGCTACAAACTGTGAGAACCTCCAACAAGCCCAAGACCCACACATTCATATGGAGATGTGGGAGTATAAATAGAGGAGACTCAGCCAGTGTAGATCAGACTCACTCTACACAGAGATCTACAGCACTGAGATACAGCCATGACTCCTGCAGTCACTTCAGCAATGACCATCTCAAAGGAGCACCTACCTCTGAGCAACAAGGTAAATTGGGAGCCAATTAAAATTAAAAAATGACTATTGTTGTCTTACTTTATAAATGATCAGCAATGTTCTGGGTCCAGTTCACTAACCATGTTCTCTTTTTGTATCTGCAGTTGAGAAAGCCAGTGGTGGAGAAGATGCGCAGAGATCGTATCAACAGCAGCATTGAGCAGCTCAAGACTCTCCTGGCTCCAGAGTTCCTCAACCAGCAGCCCGACTCCAAGCTGGAGAAAGCAGACATCCTGGAGATGACAGTCAGCTTCCTGAGACAACAGCAGCAGCAACAGCCTGCTTTCTCCACCAGTTCAACAGCTGTCAGTCAAGGCTTCTCCAGATGTGTCCATGAGATTGTGAACTTCCTGTCCAAAGATGAGGTGAAGACAAAGTCTCAGAGAAAACTGCTGAACCACTTCCAGAACCTGCAGCCATCAACAGACGAGGGCAACAGAAAAACTGCCCTGCCGCAAACTATGTGCTCAGATCAGCAGACCATCAGCAAAAAGGAGAATCCAGTCAAGAGCAGCCTCTGGAGGCCCTGGTAGTCCTACAGGCTGGACCTTATCTCTGTTGAACACTGTTGACCACATTGGTCTCATGTGAAAGTTGCTAATTATGAATTGTTTTTTTTTTCTGTTGGGTAAAATTTACTCATGTCCAAGACTTAACTTATGATAAGTTGTTCTGATCCATTATGTGCTTCACATTGTTTCTACCACAAATGCAAGAAACGTAATGCCTGTTTTGTAAAAAACATTCTCACTTCTTCCAAGAAGAAATTAACATTTACCTTTCATAAAGGCTTGTGTTTGACTATTAATGTCATACTGACATTCTGATGCCTGTTTCACTTTATAGTGAATAATATTGCGTCCTTCTGTGAAGGCATTGAGTGTTTTAGTGATGAAACAAAAAAATATTCATTGAATGTATTTTAATCATGACATGGCGAAATAAAACAATCAATGAAAGTTCTGTCTTATTGTCAATTCTGTCAACATTACTAGAAAGCACACTCAAAGAAAGCCCATGCTTGTCATGGTCACATTCTTGAAGATTATTAGGCCTGCTTATCTGCTTATGCAAATGAATGCCTCTGGTCAAATGACGTGTTTTGTTGATGTAGGTTAATTTGAATGTGAAAATAACACACATACAACACAGGGAGCATTAAAAAGCGTAAAATATAAAATGTGCCACAACTTTCGCACAGGCCACATTTTACGTTTTGTTTATTTTTTTATCCCCCATTATGTTAAATTTAGCAAATTAACATAAATAGTGCATTAAAATGTGCAGGAGTGTGTAGAGGATGCGTTCACTTGTTTTTGACAAAGCATCATTTGGCCAGGGGTGCCTAAACCTTTGCACACAACAGTAGAATGAAATGACATCTAGTTATTATTCTTAAGAACGGATCTACAGTTATTCAGCTTTGTATTTGGTACAGTATGCCTGTAGTTTATTATCAGAACCACAAATATTTATTTTCCTCCACATCCCTTGGTGCCCAAATACTCTGGTTCTGGGGCTGGATGGTGTTTTTATGATGCTAATGATGCTCGGCTGTGATTCCTGTTTCCAGAGGTTTCCCACACTCCTTTGCATTCAGAGAATTTGGAGCGAACAATAAAAGTGTGTCCATTCAGATGCTAATGGTCTCTGGGGAGCCAATTGCTCCCTGGGGCAATTTGGGCAATATTTGTCATCTAATGAAGAGGGAAAACACAAAGAGTGAAAGCAGCAGTGCGACTCAGATCTGTCAGTGTTCTGCTGAAATACACGGCACCGTCTGTGAGTAGAGTTCGGTTTGGGTCTCAAAACTAGTTAAAAATGTACTTTTTTCTTGGCTGTTTTTGACAAAAGTGCTCAACCTTTCAAAAATCAGATACCATACACTCTTGAAACAGTTTTTCAGATTGATGGAGAACGAGTAGTAAATGGTTCTATATAGCACTACAGGGTTCGACTACTGTTATGATGTCAAGCTTGTAACAACAGAAGAACTCTTTTTGTGCTACATAGAACCATTCACAAAATGGTTCTATATCCAAATACACACCCTCCATCAATCTGAAGAACCATTTTACTATGAAAAAAAGACATTTAAGCATTCAAATGGTTCTTTGAGTGTTCATGGATCAATGTGGAGCCACTGTCTTTACTAAAGAATCCCATATAAAACATCTGTGATGTTTTTTCTGAAGTATACAGCATTTTTTGCAACGCTGTTACCAGGTTTTAGGGAGAATTATTAATGCCATTTAAAGGCTTGAATTGAATTCATGAAATGCTTTTTGAACTTTTCAAATAAATAACAAAAAATGCAACGTTTTCTATTTTTCTTATGTGTGTTACTTCAAAGCCTTTAGAGTTTTTCTCTCTAAACAAAAAGATTGTAAAGATTGCAATATTTTTTTAGTAGTAATTTTAAGTAATGACTCATTACCAAATTGGCACTTCTGCTAACATAACCTGCTAAATGAATCTCCAAACATGACTGGATTACAGGGCTGAAGCCGGTAACAGGGTTGAACACAGCGATCATATTCCCCATTAATCTGATATTAATGCAGTAAAAAACATATCAAGTATACAATATAGAGCAGAAGGGAAAGCTCAAAAATAGTTTAAATCAAAATGTTTTCATTAAAACTTTAGTTTTAAGCCATTTTTATTTCATTATCATCATTTAAAAATAAATGCATCTTAAAAAAATGAATAACAGGGTTGTGAACTTGTGAAAATAAAATAAGCAGCATTTAGGAGTGATTAGCATGACAGGGTACACATGTTGCATGCTAACTACCAATAACCACACGGTTACACACATAAAACAAACAAACACACACACACACACACACACACACATTTCCCATTTTCAATGCCTCAAAGTATAAAATCAACAACGCAATTTTACTGAAGTGATTATCATTTAATATCTGATTCTGTTCAGCTGATCTCTGTACATGGGAAAAACATAGTTAGTTTAGAGCACATTTTGTAAATTATTTGCTGAGTGGAACATGTTAGAAAAAATAAAATCACACAATATTAAATGGCTATAGCTTTTGGCTATTTAAATGGCCAGATTTTTTATAAATATAAATTATATATATCATTTTTTATATGTTAAATTCAATATACAGTAACTGTTGAGTTCTCTGAAGGATGTATTAACTTATTTTCACTTGGAAATTCAACAAATAAAAAAACTTTTGCAAATATTTTACTGTTTCAATGTTTTCCTGTCTCAGTGCTTTGAGTTCTATACAATGTGGAATGTTTTATCTTAGTAACAAAAAAAAAGTCAAAGTTGATTAACTGTCCATCATTGCACATATTTTTGAAGCACAAAAATAGCTTAACTATATTTACATGTTTACATCTACTTATTTTACAGATATATGGTGACCATATTACTTATAAATTTGGATGTGGTGGAAATGACAAAACAGACATAATTTACTGTACGCTGAAATGATGTAAGAGCATCACTTTCAGAACTTAATTACTACTCAAGTGAATTAAACTTTTGAGACTGTTTTCTTCGATTTACTTTCAATACTTCAATTAGAAAACTCAGAGCGTACATTTGAAATACTCACTGACAAGACAAGTATAACTTTGTGTTGTTTATATACTCATATAACACAGGTTCGTTATGAAGGTGAACTTCAAAAACTTTGGCCAGATTGGTTTATTACCTGTAACACAGCGCATTAAATAAAATTTCAGCTTTCTGCTGCTCATGATGCTCAGATCAAACAAAAATACCTTGAGAGGTGAAAGGATAGAAAGATGTAGTTCTCACTATAACATGCTGGAGTTAGACTTCTGTTGGCCAGTCTATAGTCTAGATTCTGCTGGATTCGTTTAGGACCTCTAGAGGGCGCTCTTGACTTGTGTTAATGGGTTCATCCTTAGTTAAAGGTTTATTTTTACAAAGGGGGAACTAGTTAATCAGACGACAAAGTCAAGCCCATGTCTGAGTACTTTTTAGCCCTTTAAGGTACAAACAATGTAAATGCACCCTGAAAAGATGCAGAATTTGTGCATTTGTTTACCTTTAATGAGTTTTAAAAAGGTACAGTCACTTTCACGCTGACTATATATTGGGGCATATATGTACATTTTTAAAATTTATTCAACTTTATATTAAAACTAGACAAAGTTAAATTTAAAGCCTGGAGTCAAAACATGGATGAGTGGAGTCAGCAAGTGCCAATACCCCATTCCAGGGCCAATATTTCCTCATCTTTCTAGCATTGTCCACCAAATACAAATAACGTGTGAGTTTATGTATCCAAAACAGTCATAATTCATCATTACCTGGCCATTTTCATCAGCTTAGTTTCTGACTATGGACTGTTTGGATGGGGGAGTGGGATATGGGCCCTTGGAATGGGGTACAGTTATGTTCTATAAATAAAGGTTCCAACACAGTGACAGCATTTTTCTTTGTATCTGGACTGAATGTACAAAAAAAATGTATCATTTGGAAAAACATGAAAGAATCAAATACAACAGACTTCTGAAACATGAATTTGAACAACAACAACAACAACAACAACAACAACAACAACAACCACCCAGAATTCAGGGTAGCAATTAAATGTAGGTGTGGCCTAAAATAAGCAGCAAAGTGATAAACACTTTGAATGTCCAGTAGCGTTTTAATCAAGTTTCATCCCAACATTCAACATTATTAAGTAACTCTTTTACTGCAGTCAGTCCTTTTAAAAGCAATGTTTAGATTTTCTTTGATCTTCTGACAGATGTTTTGAATAAATAATCTTTATTTTTGATGCTACTAACAAGTAGCGTTTATTAACCAAAAGAATAGTAATCTTCACACTGTTAGACAGGCATTAGCTTGTCTGGGAAGTCGGACACCTGAGTGCCTTTTTAACAAAGAGGCCTTTAGAAGTTTGCGAGAATCTGCTAATGCAGCTGTGTGTGAAAGATGAGCTGTCCTTGAGATGATAAGAACCAGTCTATGGGGTAAGTGAATTTACAGTGCAACCAGTCAAAAACTAATGCCCTTGGGAGAGTGGAACATCCTGGTACAGCTAAGATAAGATATTTTTTAAAAATATCTCATGTATGTTTGGATATAAGGGTTCCCAAAGAAAAGTGTAAGGTTTGGCGATGCTGGGAACTAAGATGGTATAGAATTCCATAAGAAGGGAGGGGTGATTGCTTCCCCACCCCAAACAGGATATAAAATTGGGTGTTTTGCGATGATCTTTGCATTGTGGTTGTCCGGGAGCCATCTTGCCACTCAAGCTCAATAAAGAAGGCCTTTTCCTTCCTTCCACAAGAACTCAGCGACTAAAGTCTCTTATGTTTACTTTGCTCTTTTACACTTAGACACTTTTCTTATTTTGTTAGAAGAAGTTATACTGCAGTTCGCTCTTAGGGTAATAGCATTAGAACAAACCAGAAGAATCCATCTTCTGTCCAGGGGCCTTGGGCACAGAAGAGAGGCTCTTAGGCCAGACAGTTCCCATTTACACTATCATAATCATAGTCATAGCTGGTGTTACTCTTTTTCTATATATCACATTTGTTCACCGATCCCTCGGCACCATTCATAATAATGCTCATTCGGGTCAAACTCTGTTTTGTTCAATGCTCCACTTTTATGTCCCATACCTGAACATCCATAAGTGTGCCTATTCCCATGTGAACCTTCTTCTTACCCACAGCAGTATGAATGAGCTAATGACACCAGGGAAAAAAAAACACTTTCCTCCTAATATCCATAAGTGTGTCTACTCCCCTGAGTGGGCCCGTCATATTTATTGGCTGGTGGAGTTTAGGACATTAATGACCTTTGACTGTGATTCCTCCCTCCAGAGCTTTCCCACACTCTGACCATTATGAGAGAGGATGAAGAACAATGGACGTGTGTCTATTCACATGCTAATGTGTCTTTGAAGCAGATCTTGAAAAGCCACTCAGTGGT